TAACAGCCCATTTCAGTACAAAATACGGAAAATAGCTGTAACAGATCTAACCTTTGTTTTCGAGAAACTAACCAGAGTGTCTGAAATCTCACCACACACCCTCATTCACTAGTCCCTAAATTAGTCAATTAGTTTAGTCCACTAGACAGAGTGACCACAAATAAGTGAATTGGTGAACACTTGTAGCTAACAAGCACAATCACTGAAGGACAGAACAAGAAATAAAACCACAGACAGCCTCACACCAAACCAACTGAATTAAAACAGAGGATTAAACAACTCCATAAAATAACAGCATTAGCAGCTTCACTGATTACAGTATGACTTCAGTTCAGTCATAACTGCAAGAAAATTTGATAATTAACAGAGGTTTATATTTTTTTTTATTGAAAATGTTTCATTTGACCTCACCATCATGGGGATCAGAGGCTGCTTTAGTTGGGCTTTTGAACCTTTACTCTTCTATCTTAATGGTTATCTGGCTGTGTTTCTGAACTCATCAGTTATAGCAAGAAAAGCAATGAAAACCTTTATGTACTTACTACAGAATTAATATTCACAAGAAAATTGCAAACTTTATTTGAATTAAATTGAATTGATGTTATTTGGGACAGTAGTACAGTTTCCAGAAGGATCAACAAACAATTATGAAGGAATTAATAATTAGAGTTTCATGCAAAAAACCTTGAGAGCTTCAGCATCTTATTTAAGACACACAGACATCAAAAATCAGGATATGAACCTCCTACACTCTGGAATAGCCTTCCTGATAACGTCCGAGGCTCAGACACACTCTCCCAGTTCAAAACTAGATTAAAGACCTATCTGTTTAGTAAAGCATACACTCAATGCATCACCTAGCGGGTTCCACACAGGCTTCTGCATCTTGTTTATATACACTATGAACAGCAGCTACGCTAATTTTCTTTATTCTCTATTTTCACCTGGGGATACTCATCCCAAGGTCCTCAGATTAAGTGGAGTCACTGATTGGATCCAAGACCAGCGACGAGATGATCCCAAGGATTCCATATCCGGGACCAGGCCATATCCTGAGCTGCTGCTGTGCTGATGGTCGTGGGGAGTGGAGAACATGAGTCTGATTCCAGCAACGCTCCAGGGACAGACGAGTCTTCGCTGAGGCCACCTTTCAGCCTCCACCGCGGTGACTGAAGCTCTGCACAAGACTTTTGGCCAGCAGAGAAATTAAAATGGTCGTGCCCAACTGAGTCTGGTTCTCTCAAGGTTTTTTTTCTTCACTCCCATCAGGTGAAGTTTTTTTTTCCCTCTCCGCTGTCGCCACTGCCTCACATGGTTCAGGATTGGTAGAGCTACGCATCGATGAATTTGCTCTTCAGTGTTTGAACTCTCAGTAATGATTTTAAATCACACTGAACTGAGCTAAACTGAACTGAACTGAACTTAAACACTAAAAACTGAACTACACTGTTCCAGTTACTATGACCATTTATGTGAAGCTGCTTTGACACAATCTACATTGTAAAAGCGCTATACAAATAAAGCTGAATTGAATTGAACCATGGTTGCAAAAAAAAAAATATGCATAATTAATTCATTCCGCAATGCATGCTGGGTACCAGCATAGTACAAAACTCCCAGCATGCATTGCAGCATGAATAAATTATGCACCTTTATGCTCTTAACATTTCTTTCTTTTCTTTATTTTATGTTGTTTTTGGGGTGTAATATTTCAGTAGATTGTTTTGTATTGTTCTGTTTTTTTTTTATTTGATTTAGATTATTTGTTTGTCACCATTATTGAGATTCAAAGACTAATTGTTGATGCCTGTGTGTTTTCAAGTTCAGCCATAGTTCAAACTTTCTCATTGTGAATGGTGTATTTACACCTGTTAAACTGTCATTGATTGCTGAAGCTTTACTGGTTTCATTTATGTTTATTATTCAATTCTTACACTTAAACATGATACTCAATAATAACGCTAGAAGGCAAGGGTGACTTAGATATTATAGTTAATCTCATCAGACTTAACTTTAATTTGGCTCTTCATTCTATATAAATAGTGTGATTAACACAATTAATTTTAGCAGCCAAAATAAAAACTAACTTAGAACAAGAAGTTGAAAAGTCAGACTAAAGCAGACTCTGTCCTCCGTCATGGTGACTTCAAATGAACAACAGAAATATCATGAAGAGCTTTTGTTCATGTGACAGAAATAAAGTCACAGGTCAGTAATAGGTGAAGCTCCTTATGTTTGTGGATTTGTTTAATGATCTCTGTTAAGATCTTGAAAGTTTTATTGTGTAATTATTTTTATTTTTATTAATTATTATTTTATTTAGAGTTTTATTTTCAGTTGATTTCATCTTTAATTTTGGCTGTAATTTGTGTTATTTGGTCTTGTTGTTCTTTCCTTCAGTGATTCTGCTGTTAACAGTTGTTCATCAATAACTATTAATCCTCCTTTAATTAGACACTTAATTGTCTCATTAATTTCATCACTGTCTGAGTGTTCAACCCTCTGTAGTGAGGACACTAGTGAGGATTTTGCTCTGCAATTTAAGGGGTTAAATGTGTTCGACGAAAAATACAGACTGTGGAATGTATTTTTAACAGAAATATTCTGTAGATTGAATTTACGAATGTAAAATGTTTAAAACAGTAGATTACTGGTAACCACAGCTGCCAGTATCTTTTTGTAAAATCAAGAAAAACAACAGCAAAATACTGTAAAACATTTTTGTGGCACCATTGTGGAGGATAGTAGCGTCCAAGATGAACTGAGAGAATCTGTTGTTAAGCTGCATCTTCTTTTGTTTAAATGTAACTATGTAGTTACTAATGCAGTGAAAGTGTTTGTTAATTACAGTCACACATGAACACAATAAATGGATTTAATGGATTTAATGACTTTACATTTTTTAAATGTTTTTGTAGTGAACTGATGTACAATGGTTCTCAATATCAATATGCTCAGATATATTAGGCCTACTTAGACATTTAAAATAATGATTTTAATTCCAGTTAATGGCAATTAAAATGTAGTTGTTTTCTGCAAATATAAATAATTAACTCAAAGGTTTGTAAATTATCATTGCATCAGTTAATTAATAAATTGTTCTCTTGTTAAAAATACAACATTTTTCTGTAAAAACAATTTTACAGAAAAATTCTGTATTTTTTACAAAAAAGTTCTGGCAACCATAGCTGCCCGTATTTTTCCATAAATTTTAAAGAATTTTTTTACAGTGCAGAATTATTAGCGCCCTTTAAATTTTTTTCTTCTTTTAAAAATATTTTCCAAACGATGTTTAAGAGATCAAGGAAATTATCACAGTATGTCTGATAATATTTTTTCTTCTGGAGAAAGTCTTATTTGTTTTATTTCAGCTAGAATTAAAGCAGTTTGTGATTTTTTAAACACCAATTTAGGGACAAAATTATTAGCCCCTTTAAGCTATATTTTTCTCGATAGTTTACAGAACAAACTATCGCTATACAATAACTTGCCTAATTACCATTGCCTGCATAGTTAACTTAATTACCCAAGTTAAGCCTTTAAATGTCAATTTAAGCTGTATATAAGTGTCTTGAAAAATATCTAGTCAAATATTATTTATTGTCATCATGGCAAAGATAAAAGTACAAAAGCACGCACGTCTCTCTAAATTGGATGCTCAGGCAAAACCGCAAAAAGTGCAAATGAATGTCAATCAAAGGCGGCAACACCAAGGCTCCAAAAAGACAAATTTATTAAATTAAAAAGGCTGACACAGAGCGTGTAACGTTTCGAGCCACCCGGCTCTTCATCAGACAATGTTCATCACAATCAGGTGATTTTGTACACTTCCGGATCACATGATCTCCTCTTACATATATGCCCACATATACATACATGTATATGTATACATACACAATCATTCAATAATACATATATACACATAAATACATGTATACACATTCACATATAGTCTATAGATTTGATATTTCTAGTCAAATTACAAATATATATATATATATATATATATATATATATATATATATATATATATATATATATATATATATATATATATATATAAATCAATAAACCATAATATTACATCACAAATTATAACAAAGAAAAAAAAATATATATATATACCAGGATACACCAGACTATACAACAAAATCTAGCCAAAAAACCTTTAAACCAAACCCCTACTTAAACCTTCATTCATTCACTCATCATTCATTCATTATCTTTTCGGCTTAGTCTCTTTATTAGTCCGGGGCCACCACAGCGGAATAAATCACCAACTCATCCCGCACACTTCCACGCAGCGGACGCCCCTCCAGCCGCAACCCATCTCTGGGAAACTAATTAAATATTAAAGACTTATTCAAAAATTATTAAAGAAAAGGACGAATGTCAAACTCCTCATTTAAACCTTTTGGAGACAATGTGTCTAAAGTGAAAATCCAGAAAGCTTCGCGTTCCAACAGCAATTTATATCATCATGGCAAAGATAAAATTAATCTGTTATTGAAAATGAGTTATTAAAAACGTTTAGAAATGTGTTGAAGAAATCTTCTCTACGTTAAACAGAAATTGGGCAAAAAATATACAAGCGGTCTAATAATTCAGGGGGGCCAATAATTCTGACTTCAACTGTATATACGAGTTTGACTTAATTGAATTACTGAAATTATTACAACTTTTTTGATGACATTGCAATTTATTGAGATGCACCTGTAAATTGATGAGAACTTTATTATATACTTTATATTATAAACCTTATATTATTTAATTTTAAGAATGATTATGATGATAATTTTATTCTGCCAGTTTATTATTTTAAATGTTTATTTATTATATAAAATGGCTGGTAATATTTAATTATGTCTCATAGATTTTCTTAAGTCACTAGCCATTGGCATGTGCTACAAAAAAGATTTGTCGAAGAGTGTAAGTTATATCAGATAAAAGCGTGTCAAATCGATCACACCCATCAAGCAGAAAGATAATAACATCTCCTGTCTTTCCCTTCAGGGTGTTTGTTTGTGAACCGGAGTCTGACGCTTGAAAACATCAAGTGCTATGGCTTCGACATGGATTACACTCTGGCAGGTGAGGCCGTTGTCAGTGCCTTCGGGACGGGTTGTCAGAGTGTGTGTGTGAAGTGCTTGGCTCTCATCAGCTCTTCTCTTTTCCGCAGTTTATAAATCTCCAGAGTATGAGAGTCTGGGCTTTGAGCTGCTCAGGGACAGGCTTGTGTCCATTGGATATCCGCACGAGCTTCTGGGATATACATACGACTCTACTTTCCCACACGGTAAGTGTTACTCCTATAATGGAACTGGATTTGGCTATTTTGGGTGTACAGTGAGATCATGGTAAAGGCTTTTGAAGGCTTCTGTGTGTGGAATTGATGTATTCACTGTTTACATGCACACGTATCATTCATGTTTTGGCCAAGTTTGCTTGAGTTGATGTTGCCCCTCACTTTATTGGAAATTGTGTTTCATAAATTGAAAACTAACAATTTTAAACTGACTGCAATGTATTCCTAAATGTGGTTTAACAGTTTTTATCATTTTGTACTGATTTATTTGTACTTGTAATGTTTTTAAAATATTTGTAAATATTCTTGTAACATTTATAGAACAACTTAATGGCTTTGGGATGTTAATTGTTTTGATGGATTCTAAACATTCTTAGAAGATTCATACAATATGAATGGAAAGTTCTAATAACCTTAAATACTGTTCTGAGAAAATTAATATGACATGAGACTAAAACATCATGAAAATGTTTTGAATAACTTTATTGTAACCAATTAATAGTGTTAATACATTGCCAAAAACATTTTGAAGATTCTATGAACATTAAAAAATAACATCATATAACTTAACGGGAATGTTAATGCACAAAATAAACCTTTTCTTTTTCTTGTATAATTGTACTGTCACTATGCTGCTGTGGTGATGAATTAAAGTGATTTACTGTATTTTCTTTATTACAAAATGCACTGTTTTAAAAATGTTTTAAACTTGTGAAACTCATTCTTTAGGTGCTGCTGATCACAGAGAGCTGAACAGATCTTTTAATCCCAGTTACTTTGCGCAAGTCCAGTCCTTTTTTATATAATTATCTGCATTACTACGGAGACATGTTAATAGCGGCTGTCAATCAATTTAGTGGGCGGGGAACTCATACTCCTTCCTCACACTGAGGTGAGCCCAGGCCCGGATTGGCTAATCGGGAGAACCGGGAGAATTCCCGGTGGGCCGGTCCATTTTTTGCCCGCGAGGGCCGGTGTCCCTAGCTGCTCGCACTCTCAGCAGTTGCACTTTTTTCATTTATTCGTTTATTTGACCATAGTCTTGCTCTTTTAATGCATTATTTTGCCGCAGCTCCTCTCTTTTTATTTATTTTCTCGCAGCCCCGTGAGCAAAATGAAGCCCGCAGGTTAATGATGATCATCTTTAACCTGCGGGCTGCACTCCATTCCACCCCAAACAGCAGCACCTTAGTGAATATTAATGAATATTACACTTGCTCAATGAAAATCAGATGATTCACTACATTAATAAATCTGACATAACTTGATCGGAAATCTAAAAAGGGGAGGAAAAGATTAGAGTTAAAAAAAAGAGTCAAGAGTTAAAATCAATAGGAGCAGATAACATTGCACTGATTAACAGCGCCATTGTGGTCTAGTGGTTAGTATGTTACATTAGGATGCCGCCGATCCGAGTCCGAACCTCACCAGAGTATATATTTTTTCTTTTTCATTTTTTTTTAAGACATAAAATACTGTTTGGGTTACTTATGTAGGGGTACATATTTTTTTGTGTGTGTGTGTGTGTGTGTGTGTGTGTGTGTGTGTGTGTGTGTGTGTGTGTGTGTGTGTGTGTGTGTGTGTGTGTGTGACGACCGTTACAAAGGACTGGATATCTATAAAGAATTAATGTTCTCAAATTTATGAAAAACATTTGAAGTTCTAAAGCAGCTGTGTCCTTAAAAAAGACATGTTAGAGTCTTTTGAAACTGAATTGGAAATAACGTTATTTTAATATAGTCAGTCGTCGACTGAGGTGGGCCGGTCTAAGGCTTGAAACTCCTTAGCTAAAAAGGAGTCCCACTCCGGCCCTGGGTGGGCCTCAAAATGGGAGGGATTTAGATCCTATTTTAACATCAGAAAATGTTAATAAAGAGACTTGTTGTGCTTCTATTAGTCCAATATGACAGTGTATTTACAGTTAAGTGTGTCCGCACAGTTCTGTCCAAAAGCTTACAAAAGTAGATTCTCATTATAGGTGCTCTTTAAAGTAATGTTTTTGGAACTTAAAATTGGTTGATGGGCGACACGGTGGCACAGTGGGTAGCACAATTGCCTCACAGCAAGAAGGTTGCTGGTTCGAGCTTTGGCTGGGTCAGTTGGTGTTTCTGTGTAGAGTTTGCATGTTCTCCCCTGTTCTCCCCAAAAACCCCTCCAGCAGCAAGCCATCGCTGGGAAGCATCCATGCACTCTCATTCACTCACATACAGTATGGACAATTTAGCTTACCCAGTTCACCTGTACATGTTTTTGGACTTGTGGGGGAAACCGGAGCACCCGGAGGAAAGCCATGTAAACATGCCAACTGACCCAGCCAGGGCTCAAACCAGCAACCTTCTTGCTTTGAGGTGATTGTGCTAGCCACTACGCCACCATGCAAAGGAATAAAGGAATAAAGGAATAGTTCACCCAAAAATGGAAATATCACTTAATTTACTCTCCATCGTGTGGTTTTACAGCTTTATGAACACAAATAAAGATAATTTAAATAATGCTAGTTGCTGGCATCCATTGACTTCAATAGAAAGGAAAAAATTATGAACGTCAATGAGTATCATCAATCAGCATTCTTCAAAATAACAAATTTTGTGTTCAACAGAAGAGAGAAGCTCAAATAGGTTTTGAATAAATGAAGGGTGAATAAAATATTAGATTTCAGTGTCAAGTGTCACCCTAGCAGGTGTAAAAAAAAGTCTCATTTCTATTCTGGACATCTGTAGTCCTACTGTAAATCCCTCATGAGAGATTGTGTCTGTAACCATACAAAAGCAAATGTCCTGTCATTATATGGGCCTCGAGAGTCTCATAAACCAGAAGTTCACCACAGGTCATTATTAATACAGTCTGAATATCAAACACAGACCGTTGGACTCACTGCTCAGTGATACAGCAGGGGGAAATATAAATATAGACTCTTGTTTTAGCTCCTCAGAGGGCCATATTTTAATGCTCTCAGACTTTCATTCTCTCTAACGTTCTCTCGCTTTCTCTATTTCTCTTCAGAGGTCTGGTCTATGACACCACATACGGTAACCTGTTGAAAATAGACTCCAATGGAAACATTCTGGTCTGCACTCACGGCTTCTAGTACCTGAGAGGGTGAGTGAAGATTCATTGTGGTGCCAGTCAATGGTGTATTGAGGCAGTTTGAGGCACAAATGCCCTTTGAACTTTCCTCTAACAACAAAAGAATCCAGCAAAGTACAAAATGCTGCGTAAGGCTAAAATGATAAAGAGAGGCAGGTTGAAAGCCAATAAACCCAACGTGAAGGAATGACAGAGTTGAAAAAAGTTAAATATAGATGAAGAAACACACGGGCTCTTCAGCTGAACATTCAAGAAGATTTTAGCTGAAACTGGTTCTTTGTGAGTCATAACTTGTTAATTAAAGGCAACTGCCACTTTGGGGGTGTGCGTTGGCTCGAGGTCGCAGGCCGAGTGCATTAGTGCCCCCACCAGTGCTAATATACGGCCATATCGCACTGCTACATGTGTGGTATTGCATTTATACAACAGTTCGACCACATAATTGTATATTGAGGCAGAGTTTGTCTGTTTATAGTAATTGTTAACTTGTACTTAAAGGTATAATGCATTTAAAAGAATGAAAATTTACATAAGATTTACTTCCAAACCTTTATATGTTTCCTTTTTCTGTTAAACACAAAAGGAGGGGTTTTGAAGAATATTAGGAACTGGTAAGCACTGACTAAAATAAATGGTTTTGAGTTATTGGTTTTGAGTTTTTGGTGAGGACAAGTGTAAACACTGCATGAAACAGGAGTGTGCTCTCATATAAGACAGCATGATGAAGGGTGTTTCATCAGGCGCCGCCTCCACACGGGGTACTGTGAGTCTGGTTTTATTTAGCAGGGGGATCAGTTGTTTGAGGCTGCTGGTTGTTAGTGACACTGACTGCTGTGACATTAACTGGACAATTCACTCATCGACTGTTATTGTTTACAAGATTTTGAATGTGTGTATATACAGTGCCCTCCACTAATATGGGCACCCCCTTTTTACTAAATATGAGCAAAGAAATCTGTCTATATTATTTAAGCTTTGATTATTTGCTCAAAATATAGACCCGCCACTGATTCTAATTCAAAAACAAACTCAGTAAACATCTCAAATAATCAAAAACAAAGGGTGTGCCTGTTGATCTTCTCCTGAAAGTGTCTGTGTGTGTCTACAGTGGATGAGTATTATCAAAAAAAGTTCATCTAGAGGGACGACATGCTCCTATAATAATAAATAATTCCTTTTATTAACACATAATAAATAACGCATTTATATAGTGCTTTTCCAGACGCTCAAAGTGCCTTTACATTAGGGGGTATCTCCTCATCCACCACCAGTGTGCAACATCCACCTGGATGACGTGACAGCAGCCATATTGTGCCAGACCGCACACCAGCTGATGGAGAGGAGACAGAGTGATGAAGCCAAATATGATATGGGGATGGATAGGATGCCAGGGTTAAACCCCTATTCTTTTTGAAAGGACATCCTGGGATTTGTAACGACCACAGTGAGTCAGGACCTCAGTTTAACATCTCATCCGAAAGACGGCGCTCACTGAGCAGTACAGAGTCCCCTTTACTGTACTTGGGGGTTAGGACCCACACAAACCACAGGTTGAGCACACCCTGTTGGCCTCACTAACACCACTTCTGGCAGCAATCTAGCTTTCCCATTGTGGTCTCCCATCCAGGTACTGACCAGGCAAAACCCTGCTTAGGTTCAGTGAGCGATTTGGATGTGAGAGTTGTAGAGAGCTAGCTGCCAGCAAGAGCTAAAAGAGGCTGTTCAGTAGGGCTGGACAATAATTGTGACGCATTTACACATTCAACTGATGGATGATCATTCTGTCAACATGTATTTGTTCTGATTCTTTTCTCAGAGACCTATCTTTATGCCTGCCTGGTTGACTTCTACACCAAAAGCACCAGATACAAGAAGTGAGCAAATTATTTTATATACGGTTCCCCTAAAACCTACTTACAAAGCTACACCAAGGATGAATTATTAAAGTAAAATATTAAAATATGTAAAATTCAAAAATAATATCTGATTAACCTCATAAACATTGATATGAAATTATTGCGTAAACGTTTTTGTTGTAATTATTTAACAAAGACTTTGTTATTTAAAAAAAAAACATTTCTCTATAGTTTTCAAAATAATACAATTTTGTTGCTGAAAATTATATTGCCAAAAAGTATTGTAATGTAATCAGTGTGATTTTTATAATAGCCTGCCACACCATTTTTTTTTCAATGTAGCAGATTATTACACTTTCCACATTGTTTGTATGTGTTCGACTAATACTGGACATTTAACCTGTAACTGTCCCAAAACTTTTAGGGGTATTTTTGATGGGTTTTCAAATCATGACAGTGTTGTACAGATTAACTCACTAATCTTACATTCAATTCAATTGAATTCATTTTTGATGTTGTTAACATTTTTAAATAAGAATTGTACTTTTGTTTCATGCATTGATAAGAATTATATTGAGAGAATGAGAATGGACGCTATCAAATAAGGGTTGATTTTTATTAATTGTTGTAATCCATCACATTAATTCAAGTTCTAATCTAGTCTTTGACTCTGCAATTCAATAATCATTGGAAGCCTATGTTAGAGTCTGATCTGATTGACAACCATATTCATCGTCCAAGCAAAAACATCTTTTACCATCCATTTTTATAATTCAGTTTACATGTACACACTATTACAACCCAAATCCCTGATAATGACGAGACTGAGATGAAAATCAGCACTGTAAAAACATCTGTTAATTAACTGTTTCGGTAATTTGTGATTAACAAGTGTTTTCTGATTATTTACAGCTGTGAATTGCATTATGGGATGTTGATCTCTGCTGTGTTGACGCTACAGTTTAACAAAGTGACTTTTATTGGCATTTTAGTTGTTTAAAATGATAAAATGTATAAGAATAATGTAAAGAGAAATAAATCTGTAAAATAGCAGAAAATGTACCGGTTTTGGTTTTTTGTACTTTAATAATATACTACAACAACCCTGACAATATATCACTTTAAACCATTAAAAGTGTTAATAATAAAAGTTACTTTTTCAAACTTTTCAAGGTTCCGTTTGTTTTTCAACAAACCTAGTGTGAAGATCTTGGAGAATAGTATTCCAATACTGAACTTTTTGACAATAATTGTCACATGCCATATCACCCAAGACTGGTTACACACTGAGGCTAAGCAGGCCTGAGCCTGGTCAGTACATAGAAGAGAGACCACATAGGTTGCCTAGCAAACTAGGTTGCTGTTGGAAATGGTGCTAGAGAGGCCAGTGGGGGGTGCTCAACCTGCGGTCTATGTGAGCCCTAATGCCCCAGTAAAGTGAAAGGGATAACATACTGTCAGTGAGCATCGTCTTTCAGATGAGACGTTAACCTGGGGTCCTGACTCTCTGTGGTCATTAATAATCCCATGGCACTTCTCGTAAAGAGGAGGGGTGTAACTGTAGTATCCTGGCGAAATTCCCTCCATTGGCACTTACCCATCATAGCCTTCCAATCATCTTCATCCACCGAATTGTCTCAATGTCTGTCTCTCCACCATTGTCCTGTGGCTGCCGTCACATCATCTAAGTGGATGCTGCACACTGGTGGTAGCCAACAGTAGTGGGAGACAACAGTAAACAACAGATAAACATTTAGCAGCATCAATAAATCAGGCAGCTATCTTAAGTCTCCCTGTAAAAATGCTGTGAAACAAATGAGCAGACTACAGATGGATGAGCTTAATGTGACCGTGAGCTTGTTTTGCTTGACTCTGGTTTTTAAATCACCCAGGCACAAGAAGCGGAATGGTGCTGTGGTCATTGCTGACCCCTGCAGGGTCATTAGGGTAAAAAAAAACTCCCGTCATTGTAGCATATACAGTGCTCTAGTCAACAACTAAAATCCAAAAATAAAATTCCTTCCACGTACAGAGCGATACATATCAATTTTCTAATCTCTCAAAGCTCCAGGCATTCTGTCTCCTCCACATGACCACTGGCACAAATACAAATGCATCTTCTGTGACTCGTTCTTTTTGATATGGCCTGAAAAATGTCTCTGACAGCAACAGGACTCAAGGAAAAGTTTAATCAGCTTTACTGCTTCACTTTCGTACATTTAATTTGGGCATGTCTCATATTTTACCCCATTGCTGTAATCTTTATAGTGACCTTCATGTGTCATTTGCATCAGATCACTGCCATTCATAAATCCTCATGGGACAGTAAAGTGTTCTTTAGCATGAGCCTTTTCAGAGTCCTGTCAGAAGTAGTTGGTCATCCGGCTTTTCACCCCATGTTTTATGAATATCCTGAATTCAGACATACTGCATACTGCTCAGACACACTGCTCTGAATTATTATACTGTCTTTTCACATACTATACAATATGGAGGTAGACATGTTCTGACAGAGATGTTTATTTGTTATTATTCAAGAGTTCATAACTCCATGAGGCACAGGCTCACTACAGTGTTGTTGTTATTCAGGAGACACTGAAGGAACGGACTCTGAAAAACCAGGACAAGTACGTCATTAAAGATGTAAGTAACAATTATATTTGTTCTAAGACTGCCAAAGAAAAAAATCTGTTCACAGTGTCAGTGGCTCTGTGTTCCCATTTTTACTTCACAGATACACATGATCTTAAAGCAAGTTTCTAGTTAATGATTCATTGATTCACATGATTCAATCAGAACGAACCTCAAGTTAATGACTCTCTGACTCAAATTATCTGTTTTAAGTCTCCAATTAATGACTCTGAATCAAATTATCCAGTCAGAACAAATCTCCAGATAACGATGCACTGATTCATATGATCCAGTCATAAAGAGACTCCAATTACTGACTCTTAAACTCAAATGCTCTGTTAAAAGTGAATCCGTTTCACATGATCAGATGATCCATTTGCGAATCTCCAGTAAATTATTTTACAGATTAAATTAAATTACAGATAGATTCAAAATGAGTCAAAAAGAGGTGTTTGAGTGCTGCTACTGGTGGATAAAAAAAGTCACTAATGCTTCTGGATTTAGGATTATAACAATGTAAGTCACAACTGTCTGTTGGCTTTTAAACCAATCTACTGTTAAAGCCAACATATAAAACACTTGAATGGGACATTATATATTTTTAATCATTTGTACATTTAAGTTATCATTAATTATCAGAATGGTTCTCAGTGTATGAAAAGTTTGGGCAAGAAAATTCAGCACTTTCTTGCTAAATAAATGATCAGTAAATACATTTTGCTTTTAATACTTGAGTAATCAGCATTTCTACCTTGACTGGGGACATTAGGCTTCATGAAGAAGTTATGGAGACGTCAATTTGTTTTAACTTCATCCACTGGTGCTGATATAATAGATTTGAATGTCCCAAACACTCCTTCACCTGCATTTGCTCTGGTTTAGCCTCGTATTCCTGTGTTACTGAGCCGCATCAAAGAGGTCGCTAAAGTGTTCCTGGCCACCAACAGCGACTTCAATTACACCGAGGTAAGAAGAGACCGCCAGACCTCCAGAAATTATTTAAACCACCATCCGACAGCCTGCAGATCGTTGCACACGGTCATTAATATTCATAATTCACTTCTAATCACACTGCATCCCATCTTTTCTCAAATTAGGCTATCATGAAATACTTACTGGATGCGGCAACAGCATCTAGTCGTGGTGCTCTTACTTTGACCTGGTGGTTGTGGATAACCATATAACCATTGACTTCCATAGTTTTTTTTTCTTACTATGAAAGTAAATGGTTACAGGTTTCTAACATTTTTCAAAATATCTTCTTTCATGTTTAACAGAACACATTAACCTGCTTTCTGATGGTTTGTTGAAGTGCACATGAAAGAAATATAGACATCTTCAATATGGAATTAAAGTCATTCAGAAGGAGCAAATTTTTTGCAGTAATGAAGGATAAAACAGACACTTTCTCGTACTAAATCTTTTAAAAATACATGTGCTTTTATCTCATGCAACAGAAGCAGAAGTGCTACAATCAAAATTAAGCATTTTTAGATGACCATACAGACTGAGCTATAAATTTCACGATAACATGTAGGAACTCCATTTATTGACCATGACAACTGAGATAACAAATGAAATTATTTGCCCCCCTTGTTTATTTTTGTCCCCAATTTCTGTTTAACAGAGAGAGGATTTTTTCAACATATTTCTAAACATAATAGTTTTAATAACTCATTTCTAATAACAGATTTATTTTATCTTTGCCATGTCGACAGTAAATAATATTTTACCAGATATTTTTCAAGAGCTTAATGGGGTTAATTAGGTTAAAAAGACAGGTTAGGGTAATTAGGCAAGTTATTGTATAACGATGATTTGTTCTCTAGACTAAAGGGGCTAATAATATTGACCTTAAAATTGCTTTTGAAAAAAATACTGTTTTTATTCTAGCCTAAGTAAAAAAATACTTATTTCTCCAAAAGAAAAAAACATTATCAGACATACTGTGAAAATTGCCTTGCCCTGTTAAACATCATTTGGGAAATTAAAAAAAAAAGGTTAAGATGATTTTTGTGAGTTAGCCTGTCAGTTTATTGGTTTGAATTTAAATGTGATCAGTTTTTCATTGACTAGTGGTTTTAGAAACTTTGGGCTGTAAACAAGTGTCAGTAAGTATTAGTCAGGGATGATCAGAAACATGTGCAATGCGTGAAATGATCGATAGATGGCGACAGAAGACTTCAAAATCTGCACAGACTTCACATTTGCTTCACAAGAGTCTTTTGAAGTGAATATTTTAAATATCCTGTTGTGCTGTCCTACTGCTGGCCCAGTGAGTATTTTAGCTGAATTGAGTTTCAACTTAAATTTTTCATTTCTGTTGTATTGCATCCTTCTAGTGGCCGTTTAGTCATTTTTTTTTTTACTTTTCAGTGTGAACTACAGTTTATCTAATTTTGTAGGTCATTTTACATGTAACATAATAATACTTTTTTCACTTTTAAATTCTGTTAAAAATTATACACCACTTATTAATGAGTAAATACTAAATCAAAAGGACATTTTTAGTTTTCATTTATGTACAGAACATAACCACTAAAATATCATTCAGTTCAACTATATTTCATGTACTAACATCTTGTATGGTAAAATTTATTACAAAGAATATTTGATGTTTTAAAAGATTAATGGGACGGTTCACCTAAAAATGACAATTTACTTACTATTTATTGACCTTTAAGTGGTTCCAAACCTTTATGCATTGCTTTCTTCTGTTTAACACAAAAGAAGATATTTTGAAGAAAACTGAAAACTATTAAGCATCGACTTTCACAGTATTATCTATTACAGCACACACGTGACTGAACAAATCATGCTTTACATGGCTTACTCTGCTTACAAATGAACAAGAAAGTGGCTGAAAATCATCTGCATGGCAATATAATCTGGCTGCTTTTTATATGGTTTACTAAATTATGAATAACTTGTTTCTCACAACAAGTGTAAACGAATTAGTTACACTAAGAAAAACAAGACAATAAGAGAAAAGTCTGTTTTGTGCCACTTTTAAACACTTAATGAATGTTCACTTCCCTCTCCTTTTACCCATCAGGCATTTGGACAGTGGAAGTCCATATATAATTGATCTACAGCTATACAAACCACTGGATATTTCTCACTTTCTTTGGATTTACGAGGTGTGAGTTGGAGTTTAAAAAAAATGGTCAGAATAACAGTTTCATTTAAATAATTTATATTGTGTTGTCTTAAAAAATGTCCAGTGTAAATCCAGAGTAACTGAGGATTGTCAGGCATCTTTTTATTGATGACATTAATGTTGTATTATTGTTTGTGCAGATGGGGACGTACGGCATGGATCTGTGTTATGGGAAGATGGGCAGTTTGTTGCGCTGTGGCTCCACTAAAACACTTCTTCAGCCTACTCTTCAGAGCCCCGCTCGTCCTGGTGAGAATAATACACACATTTACACATAATATTTTATTCCATAATATTTCATAACATGTACTTTATAGAATATTGCATTTTGAATGATTTACAACATTTGTAATTAGATTAGTTTTTTAATTTTTTAAATACCTGTCACTTGTAACGTAATGGTTCAATTATAACATAATCTATTATAATATATATTAATTTAATTATATATATATATATATATATATATATATATATATATATATATATGTTGCATGTTCTCCGGGTGCTCCGGTTCCCCCCACAAGTCTAAAGACATGCGGTATAGGTGATTTGGGTAGGCTAATTTGTCCGTGCATGTGTGTGAATGGGTGCGTGAATGTTTCCCAGTGATGGGTTACATATTAGTTTCACACCACAGAAAAACTCAAAGCCATGAGCAAACTCATGCTCAAGGTCTGAGATATTTTTGTATGAAGTGCTGCATTTTGATTAATGCCACAGGACAGTTAGATACTAGCAGGGCCAGACAGAATTGGTGGCTGTTTTGTATTTTCTGTGCTGATTTTAAGTAGGTCAAGGGAGCCAGACGTTTGACTATTGCATGAAGTCTGGTACAATTTTTGGTTTATTCAGCCCAAGAACCATTTATTTCTGCAGGGACAGGCATGCGTTTTAAAGGCAGTTTAGGAGAAGGTTTTTCTATAGTAGATTATGCCACAGACAAAAAAAAAAGGTCACTATGGAAGATACTTGTTTAATAAATTACTGAACAATGATGGTCCTCAAACAGCTGTACAGCAAATAAATGAATTATGAGTATGAATATTATACAACAATAATTACACTTCAGCAACAGTATAAAATATAATCACTTCTGATCTTAAGATTGTAAATAATAACACTATTGATAATATTATAATTTTTTATCATTAGTAGTAGAGGATTTAGTATCATTATCATCATCATTAGTAGTAGTAATCGTAGTACTTTTTACTCAATATTAATTTAATCAAATGCAAAGCAGTAAAGGTCTACAAACAAGTGTAGCAAAGGTTTATTCAAAGGTTTAACATTCAAAGGCTTAATTAGGTTAATTAGGTTAACTAGGCAGGTTAGGGTAATTAGGCAAGTTATTGTATAATGACAGTTTGTTCTATAGACTATCAAAAATATTAAAAAATATTTAAAAATATAAAAGCTTAAAGGGCCTAATAATTTTGACCTTAAAACGTTTTTTTTTTTTTTTTTAAACTGCTTTAATCTGGCCAAAATAAGACAAATAGCACTTTCTACAGAAGAAAAAAAATATGACCAGACATACTGTGAAAATGTCCTTGCTCTGTTAAATATCATTTGGGAAATACTTTAAAAAGAGAAAAAGGGAGGCTAATAATTATGACTTCAGCTCTTTATATATGTATCTGTTTTTGGTCTTGTATGAAATGCTGCACTAATTTTATTGTCAGCAGAATTTTAAAGGAATTGTCAGCTTTCTGATATCCGTGTAGTAGATAACAAAAATATGTCTTCTGTAATTTCAGTAACTCTTGCAGCACATCACTAGAGGAAGAATTTCCTTAAAGGAACTGTTCATTGAAATCTAACAATATTACTAAGTTTACTCAAACCTGCAGGAAATCCTTATCAAAAATGTAATTGTTTGGTCATTGTAAGTCTATTTGATTACTTATGTTAATTAGTTAAAAGCACTCAAAAGGCTAATGTTGGATTTACAGGAATTCATGGATCCTACATCAACCATACTGTCCAATGGCTCTCCTCAAGTGTCAGCATTACAATAGACAACGCTATGTAAACATGCCACATGATGTGTAATGCCTGTTTGCATTCGTTTGTCTTCTCGGGGTGCGATGTTAATTGTGCCATCAAGCACATAATGACTTTCATTCACAAACATGTATAAAAATGGATGTTAGTCGCCATTACACAAATTCATACAAAAAAAAAAAGTACTACATGACAAACTAGTCATCTAGATGAAACTTTAGTGCTATTTAATATGTGTTTTAATTGTTCATGTAATGTTTTTATCTGCATTGTGGTTTATTTTTTATCTCATTTCAAAGATAATTGAGATTAATAAAGAAAAAATAAGTACTGTATTTGTACAGAAAGTACATTAACAAGCTCATAAATCTTTACTAAAAAGTAAAATCATTTGTTTAATCTTCTTCTTTTATTTTTTTTGACATCTAAAAATACACAAATGGATCAATATAGTTTACCGATTAAGAAGTATTGATAAAATACAGTCACTAATTAGATTAATTAAATCTTCCAAATACTGTGTGTTTGCATTGTAGTAGGCATTACAAAAATGTGACATGATTGTTTGGGAATAAAGCACCTTTTGTACCTGTTGAATTGGGTCAGCTAAAATGTCCATAGTGTATGTGTGTGAATAAGTGTGTATGGTTGTTTCCCAGTGTGGGTTGCAGCTGGAAGGGAATCAGCTGCGTAAAACATGTGCTGGATGAGTTGGTGGTTCATTCCGCTGTGGAGACCCCAGATTAACACAAGGACTAAGCCAAAAAGAAAATGAATAAATGAATGAATGTATTGATCAGGTTAATATGCTATACAGTAGGTCAAATATATATATTTCCTACATGATGTTAAGCAAGGAAACTTTCACAATCCGTCAGATAATATTTTTTTCTTCTGGAGAAGTCTTATTTGTTTTATTTCGGCAAGAATAACAGCAGTTTTTAATTTTTTTAAAAACCATTCTAGGGAATTTAAAAACTTAAAAAACCCCTTTAGGCTATTTATTTTCTCAATAGTTTACAGAATAAATCATAAGTATACAATAACTTGCCTAATTACCCTAACCTGCCTAGTTAACCTAATAAAAAAAATAAACGGGGGCTAATAAATCAGGGGGGCGAATAATTTTGACTTCAACTGTCCTCTAAATGTCCTCTTCAGGAAAACAGCTTCATCTCAAGCACAATAATTTCACAAATTTTGTTCTTAATTTCCCTTTTCTTATTTGGACACAGGTGGTCTCAAATCTTTTTTATCTGAAGTGTCATCGGTAGGATATTGAAAGTGTATCTAGTGAGAGAAATTCTATGCTGTTTGCAAATTAATAGCTGAAAACAGGAACATGCATGCTCTGATTTACTTATCTAAAGAAGAAAAATGACAAGACTCAAATGTAGTCAAAAGATAAAAACTAAGCAACATTCATTTTAGTTATAATCTGCTGAATTGAGCTTTTTTATTCTTCAGTCAAGTTGCATAGTGCAGCAGACATCTATGCAACAATTTAAATATAAACATTAAAATTGCATCGTAACGAGCAGAAAACAAGTTAGATAAAGACATAAACAGTGACTTTAACACTTAAGTTCGCAGGGCACTTTATGGATATATTATACAAGATATATCTCTATTTTTAATGGGTCTTGATAGGAAGCCTAAAGTACGTCAGTGTAGATGTCTGTCCACAACCTCTTTATTCCCACTTGGGACACGAATATCAATTTCTGCAGTATTTATGCAGATTTAGGCACATTTAATAATTACAGTGAGGTAATGATGAAAATTATGCACATTCAATTATACCAGTAAATATTTAAACCTCTTGCTGATGTCAATGGGCTTGAGTTTGTAGCACAGCCTGTTAAGCAGAGAAGAAAAAGAAAAATCAATAAATATTGGTAACTTTTTTTGTAAATTCCTATTGTTGCTGCTTTGGTAAAGTAATGTAATGTAATGTGATGTGTATTTATATAGCGCATTTATTGTGTATGGCCATACACCCAAGGTGCTTCACATTCATGAAAGGGGTTCTCTCCACACCACCACCAGTGTGCAGCATTTACTTGGGTGTTGCGACAGCAGCCACAGGACATCTGACAGAGACAGTGATAAAGCCAATTCAGTATATGGAGATGATTGGGAGGCCATGATGGTTAAGGGCGACAGGGAATTTAGCCAGGACACCAGGGTTATACACATACTCTTTACGAGAAGTGCCATGGGATTTTTAAAGACCACAGAGAGTCAGGACTTTGGTTGAACATCTCATCCTAAAAGACAGCGCTCACTGACAATATAGTGTCCCCTTTAGTGATGCGCGGATGGCGGTTATATCCGTGGGCGCTGCTGATATCCTACGGGTGGATGTAGCGGGACATGGCAGTGGACCAGCGAAAAGCAGAAAGTGGGTTTTGCTGAATGGGAAGATGAGACGGCCAAAATATTGGATGAACTGCAAGAGTAGCCAACAGTTTAAAGTTTCAGTCAGAGGAGTCATCAGGGAAAAATCTACTATCGTTCTGGGAGAAACAAGATCGCTTATTTCCATCACTGCAGCGCCTTGCGAGGAGAATCTTGTTCATTCCTACAACAAGCGATGCAAGCGAATGCTTAGTGCAGCTGGCTGCGTTCTGGAGGTGAGGCGCAATCACCCGAATCCAGGCACAGATGCTATTCTGTTTTTGCACAGTGCGAAGAAAAAGGCCAAGTAAACACAACATAGCTGCCGTTTAGGCTGAAGTGGCACCCTTTTTGTTATCTTGTTCCTATATCTGTAAAAGCTAAAAAGTCTTATTTTTACTTTATCTATTTGAAAATGAAGAAAACGTTGTCTGAAGACAAACTATTGTTTTATAAATAAGTAAATTCTTTTTAAAAAGTTTAGGATTAATGTATTATTTTACTATCAGAGATGCGCAGATTAGCTCAATGAATCTGCTGTTAATATCCATACTGACCTATCATCATGCCTAAAAAAAAGAATTAAATTATAAAAGTGATGATTGGGCACGGGATACATATATCAGATAAAACTCTGTGCTGGCGGGTGGATGATTAGTATGAAGTCGCGGATTCAGGTGTCTTTTCAGCTAATCTCAGCGTATCTGTTGTCCCCTTCACTTTTACTGAGCCCTTAGGACTCAGATCACAGTTTGAAGTACCCCTGCTGGCCTCTCTAATACCACTTCCAACAGCAACCTAGTTTTCCTGTGTGGTCTCTCATTTACGTACTGACCAGACTGCTTAGCTTCAGTGAGTAAGCAGTCTTGGGCTGCAGGGTGATATGGCTGTAGTAATGCATTAACAATTCCAAAAGGGTGATCCAGAGATCACTGAACACAATGTATGTTCATTTGGATAAAAGCATCTGCCAGATATGAATTATTTTATTTAATTCAGAGTTTGTTTTCTTTTAATTCTATTTTTATTTTATGTACATAATGATTTGAGGTCACTTATCAATGTCAATTAGACATTGGATAGAAAATATAGCCCAAATGCCTGCAGTACATTTGCTTTCTAATCAAGTTTGTGCCAACCATTTTTCTTACTGAGCATTCAGTCTCGGAAAAGCATTACTGTATGGTAGACAATTAAAACCTTGAGTTCATCTGAGTGCCCCACTGTGAATTAGCATTCTAGATTTGGCTTATAAATGGACTATATGCACATCTAGGTTTTTCAGCCAACGATAAACTTCTGGTGAAAGGTTTATGTGAATATTTTCAATTTTATATGGTTCGTTTAACAGCATTGACGTTGTAATGTAATTAAATGCAATGTTAAATGTTCATTTAGTTATTCAAGCATAAAATAACATAGAAAAACATGTAAACGAAAGCACTGTCACTAGCAGGAGGGTAGTGCAGAAACTTCATTGAAAATACTGGGGTAAAATAAATTTCCATAAAGTCATGGCATGGAAAAATAGAACTCAATGCAGTGCTTCTTGTCCAGTCTGAGACCCACTTTATATCAAATATCAATCAGGCAGTGAAGATTTTTAAGAAATCACATCTTAATTGTAGCAATTTTGTAATGGCACAACAGTTCACCAGGAGCACTTTAGCTGGCTGACTGAAAATTAAAAATCCATGTGCATATAGCCCACTGACATTGTGAATTAACAGCCAGGTCACTTTATCTGTGAAGACAAATTATCAATTGATTGCTGTTTTATTTATTTTGGTGGAAAGTGGAAAAGTGTTGGAGCTCAGTTTTATTTGTAAACTCTACTGTCACTTCATAAGCTGTGGAGACTGCTCTATTTTTAGCTTTACTAATTTTTGTCACAATTAATCTGCTTTCATTCACAGTACTCGAGAGACGTGTGAAGATAAACTCGGCTTGTACATTTTACCCTATTATGTCATCAAAAACTCATCCAAGCATGAAAAGTTACACATCAACTGTATGTCAGGCATTACTGTTTTTGCTTTGTCATCTTTCCTCTTTTCTTCACTCAGACTTCATACAGTAGAGCAGCACTTCACTGACACATACAATGACGGGGGCTTTACGACAACTGGTACCATCACAACTATAAAATTACATGTTACTTTCATTATTCAGTTTTCACAAAAGTCTCTTTTTTTTCCAGACAAAAAGTCCTGTACTCGTTGCAGCCATTCTCATTGCAGGAATTGGAGGGACCTTCCAATACGGCTTCAATATTTCTGTCCTGAACTCCCCGTCACCCGTAAGTACCATTGTTTTTTTGGTAAAAAAAAAATCTTGTGGTGATTTAGTGTCTAAAATTAGTGGGATTGGAGGTAATCAGAATTAATTAAATGCATTTCTGCCACTTCTTTTAAAAAACATATTTGTAAAATGTATAAATACTCAGTCCATATCAGGGATTCTGGGTTGGTGCTTACAAAGTGCTGTGGTTTAATAAAATGAAATGAATGACACAATCAGCTGAGACTTGTGCTTATGTTGCTAGTTCATTAAAGAGCTGGTGAACAGCACCTGCCAGCAGCGCTATGGACACTCCCTGGAGCCCTGGGAACTGTCCCTCATCTGGTCTTTCATTGTGTCCATTTATAGCATCGGAGGGTTGGCCGGGACACTGTATGCTGGACGTGTGGCTGGCATGTATGGAAGGTAATGGTAGTGTATCCATATAGCAGAAGTCTTAAGTCAGGGCATTGGCACATAGTGTGTGAGTGAGAGGTGGTACAATGTTTTGGATGAAAACAGTTGAAACATTAAAGAAAGGAGGTTATACATAAAGTTTATAAATGGACATTTTAAAACAAGTAAAAGAAGATATTTAGCTAATTGTTCATGCTGTTCCCTTTCATACAATGAAGTGAATGATGACCAGGAGACTCCAAGAATTATAAAAACAAACCATAACAGATTTCCAAAAAATATTTACAAACCTATACCTTTACCTTTACTACTTACAAACCTATACATTTAAAGTAATCGTGATAATACTTATGTTTGTGGTCAGCATGATAATTTTAAATTAAATAATATTTGTTTGTTAGTTTGTTTTAAAAGCTTTCCTAAAGATGCATTTATTTAAAACAGTATACAGTATAGAAACAAACTAATATGTTTAAGTATACTCCTAAATATTATTGTGTTCTGTAAATGTTAAGTGGACATAACATTAAGTGGACATAACTTAAAGTCTTTAATGTCACATGATTCATCATAAATGATTGTAACATGCTGGTACTGTGTTTAAGGACAATTTCCAATTATTATTCTTAATAATAAAAAAGTGTGCCATATAGCTGTGGATTTTTTTTTATTTTAGATTTTTATTTAGTTTTTTCAAAATGCTTTGAATTGTGTTTAATAGCATGTATTTAAAATAAAATAAAAACATTTGTAATATTATAAAAGTCAGAAAAATCTGTGTAATCATAAATCAATATAATGTATGGTTGCCAAATAAAACTATTATTTTCTTTTAACAAACAAGCAAAAAACAGATATTACCACTTGAACAGTGATATACTGCTGTAGGTGCAGACATTGATCATTGAGCATTTTTTTCTGCATTTTCAGAAGCATCTTTAGATATTGAGCGCTCTTAGCATGTGATCTTTCAATTCTAGAACTGATTTGAAATAATTCTAGGGGTGGAAACAAACAGACCGTGAGATTTCTTTAAACCATCTATCATAACGTTCGTCACTTCTGTTCTGTAACCCAACCAGCAGTGCTAAAATAGTTTAAGAATAATATTAATAATAAAAACAACAATAATTCTGAAACAGAATGGCTGAATGAATTTAGGGTTGGTTATCATATTACAGAAGACTCCTACCAAAAAGTGAGTGACTTTGACCTTAGCTTTGTTAAATGAATGCGTGTGTGTGACATTGTGCTCAAACCAGCATTTCACAAAAATTGTTAAAAATTTTATCCATAGTTATTTGTTAAACAGTGTTTAGCTTTACCCATCAGCCAGCACAGCAATGTCAATGTACTTTAGCTCTTAGTTTTCTGGTTGCCTGTAATTTGTAGGTTTAACATCCCTTCTGTTTCTGTTGTTGTTAATTTAAAATTTGCAGGACAAAAATGAATGACATTGCAGCCGTTTAATTAAACTCTGTGCTCTAAACTTTACTAGGTTTGGTGTCAATTAACTTGCATGTCAATTATTTGCCAACATAATAGCATGGACAGAGATTCTGACTCCGAATGCAACATATTTAATAGTTGAATCTTAAAACCGTTTATCAGAAGTTCATCACAGTTAGAAAATTGTCCAGATTAGTCTAGATATTTTATAGAAAGTGACGTGTGTTTTTAATCCTCCATAGGAAGACGACTCTGCTTTTGAACAATGTTTTGGCAATCAGTGGAGCCATCCTCATGCTGTTCAGTAAAACTGCGCTCTCGTTTGAGATGATCATGGTGGCGCGTGTGCTGTACGGCATAAACGCTGGTATGTTGGAAAAACTTGTTTTATTATTATTATTATTATTATTAAATGCCACTTTTCGGTATCGCCTACATTACTGATGTTTATGCAGGTGTGAGTCTGACTGTCCACACAATGTATATCTTGGAGTGCGCCCCCAAAAGGCTGCGTGGGATGGTTGGCGTGTCTGTGGCCTCTTTTGTCTCATTGGGGAAGTTTTCCGGCCAGCTGCTTGGGATCAGGTGGGTCATCACAAGGGAATGTAATCAATCCAGTTATAACATTTAGTCACCATTTATTCTGACTCATTTAGTTCCAAACTTGTATAGGTTTGTTTTTCGGTTGAACACAAAAGAAGATATTTAAAAGAATGTTGGTAAGCCATTGATATCCATAGTAGAAAAAAATACTGTCAAATAAAAAAAAAACGAATACAATTTATTTATACACTGTATTCCACACAACTAATTGTGTTGGGACAATATGAATGAAGTAACTTTAATTTTAACAAAATTAGGTGGATGTACAAAACTTAAGCAAAAAATAAATAAATAAATAAAATGTATATAGATGACCACAGTGCATTTAAAAGTTCAAAAGTGTAGAAAAACATTGATTAATGACAATTTAGTATAATTTATAGACAGTTAAAAGTCTTAGTAGTTAGTTTGTTTTAAAGAGACTCATCGAAGGGAGACTGGAAGACTAGTAGGACAGTAGAGTTGAGACAGGACAGTGGGGAGCAGAGAGAGGGGAACATGATCAAAATTGAACCCTGGTCGTCGTTTGCACCTCAGGTCTATATGTTGGCACATTGGCGCCGATATCACTGCTCAACTATCAAGACTTGTAGAGATATTCAGATACTCAGTGATTTAAAAACAAACAATACAATTTTGAACCCAATTCTATACTGAACTGGTAACCAGTGGAGAGATTATAGTATGGGAGAAATATGGTCAAATTTGACATTTGAACCATCTGAGTCTATTTATTTTAGATTGAATTACTCCCTTACAAAGAAAATTGCAGTAGTCAAGCCTTGAAGACACAAACCCATGGATCACTCTCAAACACTACTTTTTTAACAGTCAATGACTTTACAACATTCTTCAGAATGTCTTCTTTTGTGTTCAACTGAAAATATATATATATACAAATAAACAAGTGTTTATCGCTTTATTAACAGCAGGTTTATCTTTCTGTTAAATTCGCTGTGTGTGTGTTATCCTTATGAATACTTATTTGAACAATGAAAATGTGGGATTTTAGTGTGTTTGTGTGTGTGTGTATGTGTGTGTATGTGTGTTTGTTTGTGTGTCAGTGAGGTGTTAGGCACTGAGGAGGGCTGGATTTGGCTGCTGGCTTTCAGTGGTGCGGCTGGGCTCCTGCAGCTACTGACTCTGCCCTTTCTCCCTGAGTCCCCGCGGTACCTGCTGCTTGAGAAAGCAGACAAACACGGCTGTGAGACGGGTCAGAACCACAGACACTGTCTTTGACATTTACGCATACGTTGATATTTGATACAAGATTCATGAAATCATATGTTCAGAATATGCCATGGCTTGAAGGAATAGTATTTGCGTTGGTCTTGTAAAGTAAAATCTTTATACTGACAATATTTAATCTAAATAGAAACAAATAAGATAATTACAACTTTCACTATATGCAGGAATTATTACCAACCATGAACTATTCAAATATAGAGAACCATTTTCATAGTTCCTATAACTAATGGATAAAGGATCTGCAAGAACTAGAAGGTAAGAGTAAGAAAATAGACCAATGAGTGCCTTCGAGTTGGCAGAGTGCAGCTCTTGTAGGTGCTGCCAATTAATCAGGGGAGTATATAGCCAACACCTACGGTAGAGCAAGCAATTTATTTAAATTGCTGAAGGACACACAGCTTCTGTGGTGATGGAGATACCATGTCTCCATTCCTTCCTTTGGGGAACGTAGGTTACAGACATAACCAGAATGATCCGCTTCAGATCGGGAACTACTATGTCTAAAGAGACACTTTTGAGAGTGTGTATGGAAAAACAACACAGCAGCTGAGCTGTTGATACATTTGGTAAGCAGTTTGCCGAGCATGGCATGATTGCACAAGCATCACCAAAAGTGCAACCTTCCAACGTCCACAGGCCTTTTAATCACCAGAATATAGTAATAATTTAGAATTCAGGGAATTGTACAATGTCTTTTTCCTTAGCTAATTATAGACTAAGGATTTTGGAATATGAAAGTATGTTGTAAAAGTGTGCCATTCCCAAAAGGAAAGGATGCTGCAGGGGCCCCCTGCTACCCAAAGGGGAGACTTGGTGACATTATAAGCATACAGGCTACCCCTATCCAGGAGGAACACAACATGTGATCAGCTGGTTAGCGAATAGGGAAGACGCGGGTCTGCCTGACAAAGGGCAACTGCCCCTGGCTGAGTGAGGCATATAGGATCGCCAACGGGGATCACGAAAAGCTAGCACCAATACCCAGCACGTGGGTAGACCAAGCAGGCATACCAGACATTGTACTGGGGCAAGCTACCGGCTCCTTCACCAAGTTGGGCGCTGGGGGCCTCTGAGGAACTTACTAGGGTTCGCCAGATGTAGAACTCACTAAGCAGAGCAGAATAAGCATACACATCTCTGGGTTAGGGACAGGAATAACCCAGGATTGATTGGAATCACACAGTAATCAAGAGGAAACCAGTTCCACCTGAATATTATAGAATCTTGTGAATGTATTAGGTGTTGTTCAAACCTCAGCTCTACACATTGTCATGTGCTAACGCCCCAGAGGAGGCTCTCTCACTCCCGGGGGACACGGCTTGCTGGCACTGATATGCGAGGGCAATGGCATCCACTATCCAGTGGGCCAACTTCTGTTTTGATACAGCACTTCCCTTCTGCTGACCTCTGTAACAAACATAGAGCTGTTCAGAAGATATCATATTCGGTGTGCAGTCCACATAAAAGTGCAGAATGTAAACGGGACACAGCAGTGAAAAGTCTGGATCTGCCTTCTCCACAGACAATGCTTGCATTGCTTACTACCTGATTTTAAAAGAGCATGGTAGGAACCTTGTGCAGATAGCCAGGCCGGAGACTCAAGACAACATGAAAATAGGCCGGCTTGAATTCAAGACACAATTCGCTGACCAAAAATGTTTCCAAACCCTAGCCAATGTAATGTGACCAGCAGAGCTGTCTTTAGGGACAGAATTTATAGAGACACTAAATCGAGTGGCTCAAATGAATTTCTCCACCCCAGGGCTTAGGCATGCCTCTTAGAGGGCCTGAGTGATGGTGGTAACCATGGAAGCTGGTAGGTCACCTATGTCTTTCAGACTCCGTCTATGGACCACACGTGGAGCTTCCAGAGGTCTAGTCACGGTTGTCAGAGGGTGCTCCATCCCTAAGAAAAGAGGTGCTTCCTCAGGGGAATTTGCCAGGGAATTTGCATCCATGCCGAGAGGTGTCTCGGTCTGGAAATAAAACAACAGGCAATAGGCATTTTTGTAGGAAGCAAACAGGTCAACCTATGGGGACCCAATCTGAAGTGTTCTTATATAAAGCAATAGGAGGCAGCGTGATGCAGGTGCAGATGCCATATGTCCCTGGAGCCTTTAAAAATTTTTTCAGTGTGACCACTGTATTCCTTTTAAATGGTTTCAGGCAGGACAGTGCCAGCCTAGTGTGCTCTTTGGTAAGGTATGCTGACATAGAGATTGAGCCCAGCTCCATCTTGAGACAAGAGATGCTCTGCAGGGGGAAGGCCTTGTTCTTCTCCTGGTTTACCCGAAGTCATGCATGTAATGTCATGCTCGTTCTTCGAACACATACTAGAGAAATGGCCAGTGGCATGGAAAAATGAAGACATGAAAATACATATCCTTTCGGTCTATTGCTGCAAACCCATCCCAAGGATGGATACACCAGATGATGCGCCTCTGTCTAAGCATCCTAAATGGCATTTTGTGCAGATAACAGTTCTAATGTGCAGGTCCAGAATTGGCTGTAACCCATTGATCTTTTTGTGCAAGATATATTATGGAGAGAAGAAAATCTGCTCTTTTCTAACAATTTGGTCTACGCTGGCCAGTTGGCCAACAGCTTGATGTTCTGTGATGGAATTCCCTGGCCCTCCACTGGGAAATATCAACTTTTCTCCAGGTGGCCCATCTCAGGGTTGCTTCATGCAGAGCGGAAATGGCCTGGCCTGCAGCAGTGTAGTCTCTGGCTGTGAGAGACTCAAATAACCTACATGTTTTGGAAGGGAGCTTCGGCTGACCCCTCCGAGTGGATGTGCACTGCGGGCAAAAGTTGACCGCAATAGTGCACTCCACCTGGGGGATAGCTTCATACCCTCTAGTCACCCCACCATCAAGAGTGGTGAGGGAGGAAACACATGAGGACTGAGCAGAGAAAGGTACCCTCCATGCCTGCGTGAGCTCACTGTGCACTTCGGGAAGAAGGGGACAGGAGGCTTAGTGGGTTTGCACCACTTATTAGCTCCCACTTAGCACTCATCTAGTCAGTCCATTGGTGGGAAATCACTTCCAGTCCTACCTCCAAAGCAGCCTAGGAAAGCATGGCCATCATGTCAGATTCCAGGTCTGAGACCTCGCTTTCAACCCCAGAGGGAAGAAGCGGGCCCTAACTGTCATCAGAGAATGACAGCCCACCCTCTGATGTCATGATGGACATCTGATCTCTGGTGTCATTAAGCAGGAGTGTGGCCATCCTGGAAAATGAACCATTACACTCCCTTGAAGCTTAGATTGAGTGTACTGCAGAGAAGGGAGGGGTCCGTGGAAACCGAGGGGATGGATTAGCCCCCACTGTAATCCTCTGGCCGCCCAAGTGTAAACCGATTTGCTGGGAAGAGCAGCGTTGGTGCACCCTTTTGCATTCACACGCTGGACCCCTAGACATGTGATGCAGTTATCGTGCCCAACATCCGGGGAGAGGAAACCGCAGCACCAGAAATGCACAGCCGGAATGATATCTTTAAACATAAGCATTGCTCAACAGTGTTGCTCTTTTAGGGGAAATTCGCTCCTTATTAAAACTGCTCTATTAGATACCCAGCAAAACGCCCCAATGGGACAGGAGCTGCTAGTGTTGACACCCGTGCTGGATGTAGAAGCCCAGCTTTCTCTCTGGAAGACAGCTCTGCAGATAGTCTTTTCAGCTGCTGTTTGAGACTTCTGAAGCCAAATACACTCGCCTGATTAATTGGCAGCATCTGTGGGAACTGTGCTCTGCCAAATCATAGATATTCATTGGCCTGTTTTCTTACTCTTTAGAGGGATTGGTCATCTAGCAATCCACCAAAAGTGTCTCTTTAGACACCACGTCTTTGTTCCCGATTTGAAGAGGAACTGAATTTCTGAAACCATTTATTATTTTTGCCAATACCAAAGATGTTGCTCTTGCTCAGCTCTGCGCAGGCTATGGGGAACTGAACGGGACCCTGGACCAGAGATGGAGGAGATGTTGGCTGAACATGCCGCCCTGAAGGGTGTAAAGATCCACAGACTCATGGACCTTTTCCTGGACCACAATGTTCGCTGGCAGCTGTTTACCATCATCGTCACATTCATTACTTTGCAACTTTGCGGCATCAATGCTGTGAGTTACAACAACAACACCAACATACCTGGTTGATATAAAAAAAACGATTGAACTAAGAGTACTTACTTTGTGAAAACACAAAGCCATATGTCACAGTCTGTTCTGGAAATGAGCTTAATGACACAGAACGGAAAAACACATTAAATCCTTCTATTCTTCGTTATCAAGAAGGTATTTGTCATCATTTTAATCAATCAGCTCATTCAAAGCAAGGTAAATTTTAGCTTTAGTCTTAATCTTTGGACTAAATTATTCTTTAGTTTTCCATATTCATTTGCAAAAATTTAATCTTGAAATCTTTTTTAAAAAAGTATTTTTGTTGGCACTGTTAGCCTTATAGCTTAGTGTGCTGACATGTAGCGACACTGTGTTTTGGGCGTCCCAAGTTTAAATGCAGCTCATTAATCTTTTTCAATCATGTCCCCGTCTTTCTCGTTAACTTGGCTTCCTGTCCAACTTCTACTACTGTACTGTTAATAAAGGCAAAAAAAGTGGCAAAACCAAACATTTCTAACAAAGCTATACTAAACTGATTGGTTCAAATGCAGTCACTGCACTGATCTGAAAGTTCAAGTAAAGCACAAGTTGTAAACTCTGTCTGCTAAAACTTAAGTCGTGTGTGGTGTTTCAATGGTGCACCAGTGTGTGAACTTTAGGTTTATCCACATCTGTTCTTACCTGTCTTCTCCCAGACCGTGATATTTTTGAACATTTAATGAGACCAGCAGGAAGTGTTTGTTTACATCCTGTCAAGTGCATTAGTATAGGCTCTATTAAAGTTAATTGTTTATAACAGTTATCTAATACAATTAAGTCTTGTTTAAAATCATTAGAATTTTTTGAGAGAGACATTAATAAACTAATCTGATTCAATGAAGCTAAGCTCAGCTAAAAGTGACATGTAGATTGGCTAAATTACTTTAAAGAATAGTAAAACTTAACAGGTTAACTTTAAACATGCCTGTTTCCAAAAGAAAAGTAGAATGTTTCTGTAAAAAATGCACAAAGAAAATGTTGTCAACAGATGTCGCCCCCCCCCCCCCTTTTTTTTTTTTTTACTGCTGATTGTCTGCATGTGTGACACTGCAGTCAAATAAGTTTTTCACATTTTAAAGGTATTGTTTTCCATATTACTGGTATAATCTCTTTTTTTTGCAGGTCTATCTGTATTCATTTGATGTCTTTCAAGCTGCTGGTATTGCAAAGGAGAACTTGCGCTATGCTGCTCTTGGGACAGGCCTGTGTGAAGTCTCCACCTCCATCGCCTGCGTGAGTTGCACTTTACCACTCCAATATTTCATCTAAGCACAAAAGCAGGATGTCACCTGGTTTAAAGGACCCTTCTGCTTGTTGTTTACACCTTTCTTTTTTCATATTTTTTTTCAAGGTGCTTATCATTGAGAGTACAGGGAAGAGATTGCTTCTCTTTAGGGGTTACATCTGCATGGCCGCCTCACTGGCTCTTCTCACACTCACACTTTACCTTCAGGTCTGACAGTTTCTATTCCAGTTTCATCATTTTATTGCATAATACTTTCCTGAGTATGTACTGTATGTTCAGTATTTAATTATTAAATGAGATGGCAGGTTATAGTTTGTGTATATGGTGAATTATTAAATTATTAACAAGAGGGGTGCTGCTTCTTACATACAAATTTGAGTAGGTGCCGCATTTAAAAGGATAGTTCTCTAAAAGCATTGGTTATTATCTTTTCATATAATGACTGCAGCTTTACCAAATACCAAAAAAAACATCATTAAAGTACAACTTGTGCATAAATGTAATATATAAAAGTATTATTATAATTCTACAGAATTTTGTTAGCAACAGACTGAAAATGTACTTGTTCATAATAACAAAAACATTTTCACTCTTGAATTTGAAGTTGAAACTTGAAGTTTCATTTAAAGTTTCTATTCTGTTTACCAAGAAAATAAATTCTGAAGAATGTTGGAAACCTGTAACCATTGGAAGAAATTGCTAGATGACCAATCATTCTGAAGAGTAAGAAAACGAGCCAATGAATGCCTATGAATTGACAGAGTGGAGCTCCCGAAAGTGCTGCCAATTACAGCCATGCTACAGTTCCCCTTTCTCAGGTGAACCCATGTTTTCCCTACAAGCTAACCATCTTATTATATGTAGTGCTCCCCTTAGTTAGGGCTAGTTTTGTGTCCATATTGCCACCAGGTCTCCCCAGTTTTGGTAGCAGGGGGCCTCCACAGCGTCCTACCCCTTTGGGAATAGTATGCTTCCCAATGTACTGTCATATTCCAAAATCCCCAAATTTACATCCATCTATGTACAACTCATATGAACCCCATGAATTTTAATCTAAAAATTCCATATTCTGGTAAGTAAGGGCCTGGGGATGTTGGAGGGGTGCGCCCTTTCATCTTAAGGTCCAGTTACTGTGGCGAATTCCATACACTTTGCCCAAAGTGTCATATCGACGCAGCATTGGAGTTCCTGATCTGAAGGGGAACGTCCTGTTTACAGTTGTAACCGGTGTTCCCTGAAGGCGGGAACAGAAATGCTTTGTCTCCCCACCATAGTGAACTGAATGTTTAATTTTTTTAATGATAAAATAATAATAATAATAATACATTTTATTTGTAATGAGCTTTTCTTAAACTCAAAAAGCCCGGCTTGCTCTCCTACAGGTGATTGCTTCATACTCAACTGGTTGTAGTCGGCAGCACTTGTGAGAGCTGTGCTCTGCAAATTCATGGGCATGCATTGGCCCGTTTTCTTACTCTTCAGAATGACTGGTCATTTAGCAACTCTCCGGAAAGTGTCGTACTGACATGGCTTTGGAGTTCCCAGACTGAAGGGGAACAAAAACTATGGAAGTTAGTGGTTACATTTTACATTTTTCCATCTTCTGTGCTCCACAAAAAGAAAAAAGAAACTTGTGACTAGTGAAGCATTAGTAAATGAGTAATTTACGATTTAAGATTGTAGCAGTCTCAGGAGAGAACCCCAGACTTCCCTCTTCCCAGACACTTCCTCGAGCTCCACTGGGGGGTTCTTGTGGCGTTCCCAGGCCAGCCGAGAGACATAGTCCCTCCAGCGTGTGCTGGGTCTTCCCAGAGGCCTCCTACCTGGCCATCCAGGAAACATCTAAAACAGATCTTCAAGCCACCTCAGCTAGCTTTTCTGGATGTGGAGGAGCAATGGCTCTACTCCAAGTGACAGAGCTCCTCACCCTGTCAATAAGGGTGCGCCCTGCCAACCTGTGAAGCAACATAATTTCAGCCGCTTGTATTTGAGATCTTGTCCTTTCGGGCATGACTCAAAGTTCATGACCATAGAGTAGGAATGTAGATTGGCCGGTAAATAAAGAGCTTTGCCTTTCAGCTCAGCTGCTTTTTTACCATAAAATCCCAAGATACTTCACATGGCATAAGGACTTTTCTCCAACTTCTCACTTTTTCCAAAGAAGCACCACGGCTTCAGACTTGGAGGTGCTGATTTTTATCCCAGTCACATCACACTCGGCAGCTCCGAGTGCATGCTGCTCCAGTGCATGCTGAAGATCTATGTCTGATGAAGTTAACAGAACAACATCAATTGCAAATAACAATGATGAAATCCTGTGGTCCCCCAACAAAACCTACCTGGCACAAGGCTATGCATAAAAGTTCTGTCTATAAAAATGATAAACAAAATTCTGCCAGAGTCCAACATGCACTGGAAACAAGTCTGACTTATTGCTGGCAATTTGAGCCAAACTCCTGCAGACCAGACAGCCCTTAACAGAGCACCTTTGACCCCATACTCCCAGAGCACTTACCACAGAATGCCACGAGGGACATGATCGAATGCCTTCTCCAAGTCCGACCGGTTGGTGTCTATTGAGCTGGTTGGGTGTAGCCCCATGAACCCTCGAGCACCCTGGTGAGCTTTTAGAGTTGGTCTAGTGTACCACGGCCTGGTCAAAATTGGCACTGTTCCACATGGATCTGAGGTTCAACCATCGGCTCCTCGTATCTAGTACCCTGGAATAGACTTTTCCAGGTAAGTTGAGGAGTGGGATTCCCCTATAGTTTTAAAACACCAGTTTCAAGTCCCCCTTCTTAAAAATGAGAAACACCACACCAGTTGCCTGGTCCAGAGGTATTGTCCCCTACCTCCATGCGATATTGTAGAGATGTCAATAACAATGGAGTCTGAGAATGTGGACTACTCGGTCTCAGTGTCTCCAGCTTCCCTCGGGACCTGTTGAAAACTCTTGCGGAGGACTTGTGGACTTTTGAGGACTCGGGACTTGTGCTTCAGCCAGACATTCCTAGAAGACCCTCCCAATACATTTGGGCCTGCCAGGTCTGTCCAGTTTTCCCTTCTGCCAGCAGATCCAACTCACCATCAGCTGGTGATCAGTTAACAGCTTTGCCCCTCTCCTTACCTGAGTGTCCAAGAAAGTCTAGCCTTTCTCAAGAATTTAAGTTCCAAAGCCCATGCTGTGCATGGAGGTAAGCTCGACTATCTCTGGTTGATAACTTTCAACCTCTTGCACAAGTTCAGGCTCCTTCCCTCCCAGTGAGGTGACATTCAGTGTCCCAAGAGCCAGTTTCTGGCCTGACGATCAGGTTGTTATGGTCCTAACCTTTGACCACCACCCGTTCCACAATGCACTGGCACTTTATAGCTCCCTCTGCTGATGGTGGGCCTGGAGGAGGATGGTTCCATGTTGCTCCTTCGGACTGAGCCCAACCGGACACCGCTGGGATAAAACCCGACCACCAGCTTGCATATGTACCCCAGCTGCGCCATAATGGTGACATCAACCATTGATGGTCCTCAATGTTTTTATGCTCATACACTACCAGCGGCATTAGCCCCCAACAACATAGCTCTTAAAATCACTCAAACCCCTCCATCACGATAAGGTGGCAGTTCATGGAGAAGTGCCGGTTCATGGAGGAGTACTTGATTGTAATTTAAGATTGGGTAAATATTAATTTTTATCATATAGCCTAATTAAACTAAAAGGGGGGCTGCAAGTATCAAGTATAACCAAAAATATATATATAAAAAAAACATAAAAGTATAATATAAGTTTATATAAATGGTCTCGTCAGCTTTAAATCTTTTTTTAATAGGGACTGAACCCATCAAACATCAAATATGAAAAAGAGTATCATACAAATATAATATAGTAAACGTAGTTAAATAAATTTCCGGTGTCAAAAAATTAAGTTGCATTTGATATAAATTATGTACTTTGTCTTTTAAATTCACTTGATTAGTGCTCTGTGAGACTGAAAGAGGAGAAAATAAGTCTAAAAAGTGTGGTGAATAAACAAAGACAATAAAAAAATGTAAATGTTTGGTAAGTTATTCATCAATAATCCAGTGAGCTACATGACAATGAAGAACTTTAAATTAACCAAAATTGTGTTAACTGTTATTAAAAAACATGCAGACTGTTCCTGAGATTGGATTTGTCCGGTTCTGTTATAGGATTTTGTGTCCTGGATGCCATATTGCAGCATGGTCCTCATTTTCATATACATCTTCTTCTTCTCTAGTGGACCAGGTACATCCACACATATTTCTCCTGTAATTTTATACATACTGAGAGAGTGCATCTCTGGTTTGTGTCATGTTGGTCTCAGCATTATTGTGGATTTCCTCCTTCATAGCTGGAGTGACAGCACCACTTCCTGGTGAGATTTTTACACAGTCCTACAAACCACCAGCATTTGTGGTTGCCTGTGTCCTCAACTGGATCGGACTCTTCCTAGTGGGCATGTTATTTCCTCTCATTGTGGTGAGTTATTCCACCTTAATAATGTCATGGCTTTATGACACTTTTTTGATCCTAAAGGTGAATTAGGGGAATCCAAAATGAAAACTATTGGTAACGCTTAATATAAAGCCTGTGTTTGTGATGTATTATCAGGACACTCTTAATGTATAACAATCAGAGAAGTAATTAATTGCTAAGTACATAATTATAATTGTTTTTAAAAATTAGTTCTAATTACTTTGACTTAGGCGTCACCTAATTGCTCAACAAGTAATTTTGTTATTTGACTCAATAGTATTTAATCCATATAAACATTAATGCACAACCAATAGAAATTAAAGACCTTAAGTTTGAGTCAAACTGGACATTTTAGTTTTATTAAAAAACACTCTTAAAAAATGGAGATCAAGGGCTACAATAAACCAACAAATATAATAATAGCAAATTCATTCATTTATATTCTTGTGGGCTGAGTCCCTTTATTAATCCGGGGTCGCCACAGCGAAATGAAACGCCAACTTATCCAGCATGTTTCTACGCAGCGGATGCCCCTCCACCCACAACCCATCTCTGGGAAACATCCACACTTGTTATTGTTTAATATTTTGTTATGTTATACACAGTATAAAAATATAATTTTCAATGATATACATGCATGCTATCCTACTCATATTACTAGTCTTCTAAAAAAACTGTTAAATTTGAAGGGGGTCACCTTATTTGGTTACTCATCTTGTTATCCAACAATTTTGCTTGTGGAGTAAATTAATTATGGCTTGATGTGAACCAGGCATTTTCTTTTCACAGTAATTGTAAATGTACTTTTGCCTACATCCGTGCCGCTAGATGTCAGTATACATCCTATAATTATGAATACAAAATGATATCTTTGACACTTGTATACACTGTCAGTTCATTCTAATCTGTTTCTCAATTTTACAGGAGCATTTGGATTATTTCTGCTTCCTTGTGTTTTTCGTGTTTTGCTTCTTCTCTGGTGTTTTTGTGTGGTTCCACGTGCCTGAAACCAAGAATAAAACTGTTCTGGAGATCACAGAGGACTTTAAGAAAATGCACCAGAAACGTAGACACTCATTACAGTCTAAAATGAGCTCAATACTCATCAACGACATACAGTCCACCAAATGTACTAAACTTTAGCACCACTACAAAATCAGTCCTGTAGTCAAATTTAGAAACCACTAAAATTAGCAACAGCTAAAAAAAAAGGGCCTTTTCCACCCAATAATCCTTGATTTCTGAAGGAAATGTGGTTTGTTTGTGTCATGTTGGAGGATATCAGGTGTTACAATGTAATCCACATCCCTTTTCTAAACTCAAAATTCAATTTCAATTAGAGGGGAGCTGAATGATGAATCAATAAATGTGTACTTTGTGATGTCGGGTTCAGGTTTGGCCTGATACAGTTGTTGTGGAGCAATAGTTGTATTGACGCTGTTGCTCGGATGGATCTGTAAAGTGATTAGTAAGGCCTGAGTATCGGTTGAGTGCTCAGAGGTGTGTGTTGACCTCTTGCCACACCAAAGAATTATCAAGTTAAAAGTGGACTTCGCCAAAATGACTAAGCAAAGCAGCATCTCTCATAACTCGTCCATGTTTGGGTGAGTCTCGTGAATTTTGGAAGAAAGGTTAGTTTAATGTTTAAATGCTGATTGTGTTTTTTTGTCATGAATGATTTTAAGCATAAGATAAAGTGATTGAATTATATTATACATGTGTCTAAAACACAAATAAAGACTAATACTTTTACTTGTAAAACACATCTTTCTGTGATGAATAGGTATAATCTGTTTTGGTGACATTGGGTTATTATTGTGTTAGAGCCCTGTGCATGACATTTCACAAAATTGTAATATATGAAATATTGTAATATTTTCCCCCTTGTAGTTAAAACAAGAGAGCAATTAATTATATAGTGCACACAATTTAATTACAATGTGGAAGCAAATTAGTTATGGTAACAATTTCTTAAATCATAGTCACACTTTAACTAAAATAAGTGCATGAATTCTTAATCTAGGGCCATTATTAATCTACAACAAGTATACAATTCTTAATTTATTGCCAATTTATCTAAAACATGAACAAATCCTTAATTTATATTGATGCACTTACTGAAATGAAACTACAACACATGATCAAACATACCTATTGGACACAATAAACAAGTGTGTGGCTGTGTTTGTGTTACTGTGCATCCTAAAAACATTGACAGAAAAACACTTTCAATAATTGAAATAAAGCTTAAAACAATACTTGGCCTACTTGCCAAAGAAGCTGACAAAGTAAGCTTAAGTAATAAAATAGGCTACTAAATAATCAATTCACATGCATGAGCTAATAATAAGACTTAACAAAACTTAGAAATGAAACATAAATAGTATTGCAAATATAATAATTTAAAAGTATTTCTGAGATGCATAGTACAGATAAAACCCCAGACTTAAAACATTTTATGTTCAACTGGAAAACAATTATATTCTAAAGCTTTAAAAGAGTACATCTAACATTTTAATTATCATAAAGACACAAAAGGGAAACTCCTTGAACCCCTTCAGTCTTTTCAACACTTAATAAGTAAAACAATAGTGAAAATACTAGGCTATCATGTTTATAAGGTATTTGCAACGTAACATTAAGAAATTACTAAATGCTAATCATTTAAATCATATAAGAACGTTCCAACTTTCAGTAGATAACCGAATTACTAAGCCAACAACAGCCATCGTGAGAACTTGCCCTGTAGAGGAACGCGCACTCTGGTGAATGTGAATGAAGCGACTGAACTGCCAAATGAAATATTAATGCGAGGTTAATTGTAAAAGCTCGTGGATGTAGCCTATGCGTGTCGGCTGTCGGGTGTTTGGCCGCTGAACGGGACCTTTGCGTTCCGACTAGAGCGCGTGTGTTTCTCTGATAAGACAATCTATGTGCTCGAGCGCGCGCGGCAGCTAGTTCGCGTGCTCACCACATACGCCCAAACTACGTACACAGGGCTCCTGTTTACCAGCCAAACCCCAGGAAAATTCACTCTGGTGATGTCAACAACATGGCACAATTTAAAGCGCAAAGTGGAGTTTCGTGACCACTTTAGATTGTGTTGATATTTGGGCAGCGGGAGCGAGCGGACGCACCGGGCACACGCGATGGAGCCGCGCATCAACAAAAAAGAGCTCCAGCACAGGTAAGAACAGGTACATTCACACAGGTGGTGCTTCAGCAAACGTTTAGCTAGCAGTATGTTGTTATTTATATGGGTCTATGTGTTGTGCTTATCTGTGTTTTTTCCCCCCAAGTTTTTATTCTTGTTAGCCTAAAACTTCGTGACGGTTAGCCTCAGACGAATCGGTTAATCTCTTAGCATTTGACCAGAAACGTCTTCTTATCGAAGTTTGTTCCACTAGAGAGAAATGAGCCTCTGTTTATCACAGTGTAATTTTATACAGCCTAGCCTACTGTACACGGACTGCCTCATTCACATTATACCAGTACATCAGAGAATTTATTCGAGGACTAAATTTATAGTTACATTTATAAATAAATCAAAAAATATATATTTATTATTTTAATATATTTATTTATTTATTTATTTATAGTTGAAGTCAGAATTATTATTAGCCACCTTTGATTTATTTTTCTTTTATAAATATTTCCTAAATGATGTTTAACAGAGCAAAGACATTTTCACAGTATGTCTGATAATATTTTTTATTAATATTTATTTTAGCTAGAATGAAAGCAGTTTTTAATTTTTTAAACACCATTTTAAGGACACAATTATTGGCCCCTTTAAGCTTTATTTGTTTTCAACTGTCTACAGAACTATCATTATACAGTAACTTGTCTAATTACCCTAACCTGCCTATTAACCTAATTAACCTAGTAAAGCCTTAAATGTCACATTAAGCTGTAAAGAAGTATCTTGAAAAACATCTAGTCAAATATTATTTACTGTCATCATTGCAAAGAAAAAATAGATCAGTTATTAGAAATGAATTATTAAAACTATTATGTTTAGAAATTAGTAGAAAAAACCTGCTATCCGTTACACAGAAATTGGGGGAAAAAAATAAACGGGGGCTATTAATTCAGCACGGCTAATAATTTTGACTTCAACTGTCTGTATTTATGTATGTATGTATGTGTGTGTATACACATATATATACATACAAACACACACACACACACACACACACACACACACACACACACACACACACACACACACACACACACACACACACACACATATACATATATATATATATATATATATATATATATATATATATATATATATATATATATATATATATATATATAATATTTTGTCAAATATAAACAACAACACTAATGTTGAGTTAATTTTTCTTATTAAATTTAAATGACATTATAGCTGCTGGATTTGTCCACATTTGACCCAACATTGGCAAAATACAAATCAGCATTTTTTTAGAGTATATTTTGGTTATTTCTATGTATTTTATGTATGATTTAATGTTATTAACTAAGTATATAAATAAAGTAAAATAAGAACTATATTGAGACGTAACCCGAGAAATACATTTACAATCTACAATTTACAAGAAATACATCTTTAATTAAACACGGTGAGTCATTTATGAATTATCAAACACAATGGGTTAACTATTTGGATTATGATTGTTTGTGGATTTTTGTAGTGATCTATGATTTTTTTTACATAACTAACTTGATTGTATAAATAAGAATTAATCTATTGATAACATTTTCTCATTTACTCCTAATAATAAAACATGCTGGGATGACGTTGTAAACCAACGTTGAGTCAAATATGGACAAACCCAACCACTGGATTAAATCTTTTAATGACATTTACATTATAATTTTTAACCCAACAGTGTTTTTAGTGTATACAGTATATATATATATATATATATATATATATATATATATATATGTGTGTTTTATTTTATTTATTTTTTGGTTTAATGATATATTAATGTATAACTACACAAGTAATTTCAGAGTGATATAACATTAAATGAGTAGTTTATAAGGTTTATTTAGTTTTATTGATTGATTGATTCATTTGAATGTGCCTGTTTGTTTGCTTGCACTCTTATCTATTAAAAGATAACAGGCTGATTGTTTCTGTTCTCTCTGAATAGTTTGAATAGTTATTCATAGATGAAAAGTCACTTAGTTATTATAGATAATTAACAGCTTTCCATAATCATTAAGGTTTTAGTACACAGATGTAAAGGGGAAATTAAAATGACACTTGTGTCATTATTTAGTCATGTCATTCCAAAGCAATATGTTAAATTAGTAAATAATGCCAAAAATAGATGTAGATGTATGAAAAACTACAATGCAAACATCTGACTAGTTAATGGCAGATAATTACAATCATATGAAACATCACACCAGTTCTTATGGGGATAGTTCACCCAAAAGTCAAAATTTTGTCAAAATTAATTCACCCTTAACTTGTTTTAAACCTTTATGAGTTTATTTAGTCTGATAAACACAAAATAAAATATTTTAAAGAAACATGTACCCATTGTTTTTCCTGCTATGGAAGTCAGTGGTCACATGTTTTCAGGTTTTTTCATATATATTCTTTACTGTTAATCAGAAAAAAAAAATGTATAAAGCTTTGGAAGAGTAAACAGTGAGTACATTTTTTGGGTTTACTATCCTAGATTTGATCATGTTGCATTATCTTACTATTTTTAGTTTGCTTAATCAGTACATTACACCCTAAATAAAAAAAAAAAAAAACATTACTGCGTTGCATAGAAATATTGGCAGGCAGAAAGAGTGCCAGTGGTATTCACGCAGCAGTGACATCACACCAGCTGGACTGATGTCATACTGTATGCCAGAGACCTGATAAGAACAGACCTAAACTGGGCTGACCTGATATAGGAGCGTCCGAAAAGCGATGCACATTTCAATACAAACTGCATGAAAATGATTGCTTTTTGGCGGTAAAACATGTTCTTGCAGCTCAGCTGATAGTGCAAAGTCACAAACATCACTGAAGTAACCTAATTAGTTGTTATCAGGGATTAACACTAATCAAGTTTGAGTACAAATCTGAGTTGACGAGGAAGAAATTTATAAGACTGTTCACACCAAGAATGAGCTCCAGTGATAAATATTTATATAACATTGTAAATCATAATTAAATTAAATTAGGGGCTATATGGTTTGCAACAATTATAAAAATGCACAGGCAGAGCTGTAATTCTTTATGGTAAAATCACTTTCGAAAAGTTTTGAAGGTTTATATTGAGAGAAGTGAGTGACAGTCAGTTAGGATGTTTAGTATGCATGTTTAACATTGATAATTAAGCCGTTTTTAATTGCTGGTATGAAGTAACTTTAATAACAATAATTATATACATAAAAATATTATCATGAAATACTTTAAAAATATAGTTCAGTAGTATTAGTGCCATTTTTAATTTCTTTAATTTAAATAACTAAATAAACCAAATAAATACAATTTGATTGTAATGATTATGATGATAATTTTAATCTGCTAGTTTATTTTATATTTATTATATAAAATGATGCACATACAGCTTTGTGGCTGGTAATATTTAATTATGTCTCGTCGATTTTCTTAAGTCACTAACCATTGGCAAGTGGCTAAAAATCTTTTTTCCCCAGAGTATCAGATAAAAGCGTGTCAAATCGATCACACTCATCAAACAGAAAGACAATAACCTCTCCTGTCTTTCCCTTCAGGGTGTTTGTGAACCGGAGTCTGACGCTTGAAAACATCAAGTGCTATGGCTTCGACATGGATTACACTCTGGCAGGTGAGGCCGTTGTCAGTGCCTTCGGGACGGGTTGTCAGAGTGTGTGTGTGAAGTGCTTGGCTCTCATCAGCTCTTCTCTTTTCCGCAGTTTATAAATCTCCAGAGTATGAGAGTCTGGGCTTTGAGCTGCTCAGGGACAGGCTTGTGTCCATTGGATATCCGCACGAGCTTCTGGGATATACATACGACTCTACTTTCCCCACACGGTAAGTGTTACTCCTATAATGGAACTGGATTTGGCTATTTTTGGTGTACAGTGAGCTCATGGTAAAGGCTTTTGAGGGCTTCTGTGTGTGGCATTGATGTATTCACTGTTTACATGCACACGTATCATTCATGTTTTGGTCAAGTGTGCTAGAGTTGATGTTGCCCCTCACTTTATTGTCATTTATTGGAAACTGTGCTTCATAAAGAGGAAGAAAATTAACCATTTTAAAGAGACTGCAATGAATTCCTAAATGTGGTTTAACAGTTTTTATATTTTTTGTACTGAATTATTTGTACTTGTAACATTATTAAAATATTTTTGAATATACCTGTAACATTTATAGAACAACTTAATGCCTTTGGGACGTTAGTTGTTCTTGATGAATGTTCTCTTATTGAAAAACTTTCTTAGAAGATTCATTTGATGTGAATGGAAAGTTCTAATAACATTAAATATTGTTTTGAGAAAATTAATATGACATGAGACTGAAACATCATGAACATGTTTTGAATACCGTTATTATAACTAAATAATAATATGTTAAAGGTTAAAGGTGCAGTAAATGATCTGCCAAAATGCCGGTTCAAATAATATCTTTGAAACACAGTCCCACTCCTGTCGTTTAAAGCCACGCCTCCTGAATTCATCAACCCACACTGTAAAGATGATAGTAGACAATCCACTGGATCATGTAATTTGCCAGTTAGAAAACCTTACAGTAATTTACAATACTACAACTCCCAACAAAAATCAGTATTATTTCTAGCACGTTTCAGTTGTGTAGCAAGCAAAACTTAAGAGTCATAATGTGTGCACTTAATGTCATGATGTGCAATATTTCATGCAAGGATCGCTGGCGTCACTCTCTCTCTCTACTGCATGCTTAGTGATTGGCCAATAGGGTGCAGGAATCAAATTTATTACTAAGCCATACTTGCATGCTATTTCAGACTGAATATACATTATCGATGCTGTAAAAGGTGCCTTATGAAACTGAAAATAGTCACATCAATCTTTCGCCGGTAGATTTCAGTTGTTTTACAACACTTTTGTGCATATAATGCATTTGTAACACAATAAAATCTACATAAGCTTTGCATGACTAAAATAGTTTTCAAACAGAACATTACCTGTCTAAAAGAAATACTTCAGCCATGGTGTCTTCCTTCCTCCAGTGTGCAAAAGTAACTCAAATATTGGTTCAGGATTTTAAAAAGTTTAGATTCAGCATTCGTTTTTACCAGTTACACACTCACTCACTCACTCTCTCTCTCTCTCTCTCTCTCTCTCTCTCTCTCTCTCTCTCTCTCTCTCGTATACAAGTGAACGTGCATGCATGCACAAATGGCGTATTCGCATGAACAGCTGTGCAGATGTAAAAATCTACATTTGTTGACAGGCAGTTTGGGCTACTTATCAGAACTATGGGAATTATCGGTCAAAAAAATTTTAATTAGACAAACATTTTTAGTCCTATGCCTCACCCAGAATATAAAAAAACGTATAAACATATTTAGATCATTTACTTTAATCATTACTTTCGGAGTGTGAAGAGACTTTTAACCAGCACAACAAAAAATGTTTATGAAGACAATCACCTACTGCACCTTTAATGCATCGCCAAAAAAACACATTCTACGAACATTCAAAATTAATATTATATAACTTAATGGGAATGTATAGGTTAGGTTAAGGTTAGTTAGGTTTTTAGGACCTAAAATTGGTTGCTGCAGGAAGTTTTTGAAGCATATTTGATACTACAAAAGCAATCAGATGTAATGTTTTTTAACAGCCTATTGAAGCTCAAAAGGGTTCACACCATTCACACCTGCATTTTGTTTTGAAAGTAGATTAACAAAAACAAATCTTAAATAGTTCACCCAAAAATGAGAATTACCACATTATTTACTCTCCATCGTGCTGTTTTACACCTTTGAGTTTCTCTCTTTTGTTAAGAATGCTGGCACCCATTGACTTCCATAGTAGGAAAAAAAGACTCTTTGGAATTCAATGAGCACCATCAAACATCATTCTTCATTATTGGGTGAACTGTCCCTTTAATACCAGGTGTAAAAAAAAGACCACATCACTTCATTTCTATTCTGGACATCTGTAGTCCTACTGTAAATCCCTCATGAGAGACTGTGTCTGTAACCATACAAAAAGAAATGTCCTGTCATTATATGGGCCTCGAGAGTCTCATAAACCAGAAGTTCACCACAGGTCATTATTAATACAGTCTGAATATCAAACACAGACCGTTAGACTCACTGCTCAGTGATACAGCAGGGGGAAATATAAATATAGACTCTTGTTTTAGCTCCTCAGAGGGCCATATTTTAATGCTCTCAGACTTTCATTCTCTCTAACGTTCTCTTGCTTTCTCCATTTCTCCTCAGAGGTCTGGTCTATGACACCACATACGGTAACCTGTTGAAAATAGACTCCAATGGAAACATTCTGGTCTGCACTCACGGCTTCGAGTACCTGAGAGGGTGAGTGAAGATTCATTGTGGTGCCAGTCAATGGTGTATTGAGGCAGAGTTTGCTTGCAAATGCCCTTTCCTCTGACAACAGAAGAATCCAGCAAAGTACAAAATGCTGTGTGAGGCTGAAATGATAAAGAGAGGCAGGTTGAAAGCCAATAAACCCAACATGAAGGAATGACAGAGTTGAGAACAGTTAAATATAGATGAAGAAACACACAGGCTCTTCAGCTGAAAATTCAAGAAGATTTTAGCTGAAACTGGTTCTTTGTGAGTCATAACTTGTCAATCAAAGGCAACTGGCACTTTGTGGGTGTGTTTTGGACCAAGGTCGCAGGCCGAGTGCCTTAGTCCCCCCCACCAGTGCTAATATACAGCCATGCCGCAATGCTAAAAGTGTCGTATTGCATTTATACAATAGTTCGACCACATAATTGTTTGTAAAACAAAATCAAACACGGAGAGTCTCAAAAATCTTTTTGTAGGAAAAGCTACTTTCTTTTGCTGTTAATACTCATCTGCAGCTGGCGTCAGAACAGCAGAAACCATTGCTAACTCAATGTCTAAAGTGAGGATAAAACCGGTAACTTTTGCTCACATTTTTAGATTATAAGGCTGAACAGCATGAAATGCAATCAAACACTGCCAGTTTCTGTGGGATAAAGACAGCACTACAAAATACAAACCCGAGAAATCGAGTAGAATGCCACTTATTTCATTTTATAATGATTTGCTTAACTGTAGTTTGAAACTTTCATTGAGAAAACGCTGTTTGTCTCCCTCTAAGGACTCATTGTGTGGGCTCTGTCGCCATCTTGTGGTGGAACGTCAACCATCACTTTCTTTGGTCTGCTCAGACAGGTTGATGGCAGCCGATGCTCTGTTCTCTGAAAATATAAACAGCCACTATCCTCATATATAAACTGCATGGTTGCAATTAAAACAACTACATTCCTGCCTAAAAAAAGCCCCAAAAGTATATTATGATAATGTTGCCGAATATCGGCAATATTTGTCAGACTGTAATGTCCTCCTCTGCTTGTCGCTATCAGCCTATCAGATTCAAGAACCAGACAGCAAATCAACATATTAGAATGATTTCTGAAAGATCAAGTGACTCAGATGACTGGAGTAATCATGGTGAATTTTTTTTTAATCAGAATTAAAAATACTTAGTTTGTATTTATGTAGAAAAATGTTATTGGCCAATGTTTTCAATTATAAAAAATAAAACTTTGGTAAGCTTGGAAGACTTACTTTTGAAAAAATGTGTTTCTTCATTTTACACAACCAACTACTTTCTCTATTTCATTTTTAAAAAATAATTTGAAAAATAGCATTAAAAAAGGTTCAGCCCTTATTACATTTCTGTGTTAAATTGAGCACTCAATTATCTGACAGATGATGTAATAAATTTGTAGTGGTTTATTTATATGCCAGACCTGGCACCAGTACCGTATATTTGTTTAGTTAACGCTACTGTATATTGTTGATTTCCTTGTATTGAAGACCAAAGAAAGAGTTTTTGGCAAGGACAAGTGTAAACACTGACCTCTGAATATTTCAGGAGTTATTAGAGTTATGAATGGTGTTTTATCAGGCGCCACCTCCACACGGGGTACTGTGAGCCTGGATTTATTTAGCAGGGGGATCAGTTGTTTGAGGCTGCTGGTTGTTAGCGATTTCTCCCAGTGACACTGACTGCTGTGACATATTAACTGGACAATTCACTCACCGACTGTTATTGTTTACAAGATTTTCCATGTGTGTAATATACAGTGCCCTCCACTAATACTGGCACCCCTTGCTAAATATGAACAAAAAAGTCTTTTATTTTTAACCTTTTGATCATTTGCTCAAAATGTAGAACCATCGCTAACTCTAATTCAGGAACAAAATGATCAAAAACAATGAAGTATATTTGTCTGCTGGTCTTCTCCTAAAAGTGTGTGTGTGTGTCTGCAGTGAACAGGTGGATGAGTATTATCCAAACAAGTTCATCCAGAGAGACGACACTGACCGATTTTACGTCCTCAATACACTCTTCAACCTCTCAGGTACAATAACAGTGACACATTTACATGGTCATCTGATGGATGATCATTCTGTAACATGTATGTGTTCTGATTCTTTTCTCAGAGACCTATCTTTACGCCTGCCTGGTTGACTTCTACACCAAAAGCACCAGATACAAGAAGTGAGCAAAGTATTTTATATACGGTTCCCCCAAAACCTACTTATAAAGCTACACTATATGAAAGCATGAATTATTAAAGTAAAATGGTAATTTATGTAAAATTCTAAAATAATATCTGATTAACCTCATAAACCTTGATGTGAAATTATTGCATAAAGTGTTTTTATTTATTGAACAAATAACCTTTTTCTTTAAATCTAAACATTATACATTTGACAAACTGTTTATTATATACACTGTAAAATATATCTGTTAATTAACAGTTTCTGTATTTTGTGATTCACATGTTTCCATTCATTTATAGTTGCGAATTGCATTATGGGACACTGATCTTTGTCCTGTCGACATTTGTTGAAAATTCAACACTACAGTTTACCAAAGTGACTTTTATTGACATTTTAGTAGTTTGAAATAATATAAAGCCCAGCTGTCGATTAATTCATTTGTTTTGTAATAGTTAAATATTATAATTATATTTTTATTCCTTTCATTGTGTGTTTATTGATTGATGGAGTCTTTGGTTCATAATTTATGTACCTATATTTAATTTAAAAGTCTCACCTGTTGTTGACACAAGTGGTTGTATAAGAAATTATTTAACAAAAAAAAAGTCTGTAAAATGTCCTCTCAGTTCATTACAAGGTTTGTGTACCATAATAACATACAACCCAGACAATATTTCACTTTAAACTATTCAAAATGTTAATAAAAGTCACTTTTTTGAACTTTTCAAGGTTAAAACTTGAACTTTTTACAATGTATTATATTTCAGTTGCTGATAAATATATTGCCAGAAATATTGTAATGTAAATCAGTCTGCTATTTCTAATAGTACGCCAGACTGCTTAGCTTAATATACATAGTTTTTACACTATCTTACACACCATCTTCCAAAAATGTCATCAAAAGAAGAAATATTGTAAATTATGTAAAACATCAAACATGATGTAATACAATAACATTTGAGATGTGAGCAAATGTGTGTTCTTCAAAAGCGTTCATCAAATATATTGATAATCAAGCAAACCTAAACAGCTTGAGTCTAGTGAATGGTAATCTAGAAATAGCACTAACAATATATAAATTATATTTAGATGAACACTACCGCTCAAAAGTTTGGGGTCAGTTTTTACTTTTTATCATTCATTTTATGGGTGACGCAGTAGGTAGTGCTGTCACCTCACAGCAAGAAAGTCACTGTTTCGAGCCTCGGCTGTGTCAGTTGGCATTTCTGTGTGGAGTTTGCATGTTCTCCCTGCCTTTGCGTGGGTTTCCTCCGGGTGCTCCGGTTTCCCCCACAGTCCAAAGACATGCGGTACAGGTAAACTGGGTAGGCTAAATTGTCTGTAGTGTATGAGTACATGTGAATGAGTGTGTATGAATGTTTCCCAGAGATGGGTTGCAGCTGGAAGGGCATCCACTGCGTAAAAACATGTGCTGGATAAGTTGGCGGTTCATTCCACTGTGGCGACCCCGGATAAATAAAAGGTATTAAGCCCAAAAAAAATAAAAATGAATGAATGAATATTAATTTTATTTAACAATTTAAATAAAATTATTCTTTTCATTAAGGTGGCATTTATTAAATGTTAAAAAAATAAATAAAATTTAAAGTTAAATTGTTAAATACTTTTTAAATATTTCTTTATTACTTATTGTATGTTTCAAATGATATGATTACTCCAGTCATTGTTGCTTTTATTACTATTACATTAATAGTAAAAATATTAATCATAATAAAAATTGTGATGATGTGACTCTGTAGACTGGAGTAATGAAGCTGAAAAATCATAATTAAAAATCACAGGAATAAATGATTAAATTAAATGATAAACTACTTTTGAGCAGTTATTTTATAGTGCAATAACATTTCACAATTTTACTATTTATACTGTATTTTTGATTAAATAAATGCAGTCTTGGTGAGCAGGAGAAGCTCATTTTAAAACATTTAAAAATCCTACTGACCCCAAACTTTTGACCGGTAGTGTATGAAAGCAAAATGGCGTGTGAATCACAACATGAGCGTTTTATTTTTACTTGCTAAAATGAGTAAAAACTATCACTATGACTGCCTTGTGGGATAGTAAAGTATCCTCTAAGAGGCTACTGTAGGTATGTAATACATTTTTTTAAATCATTTCTTCTGGAAGTTTTAATCATGTTGATAATTTAGACTTCTTAGAAATTTTGGTTAATAGCTTTTAGAACAAAACTCTTGAGTATTTATAACCCTAAAAGATGCCTTATGAGGCCCTCCTCACTGTTTTTCTCTCTTATAGTTGGCCGAAGGGGTTCAAACATGGTGACTTGTTCATGTCACACAGAAGCATGTTTCAGGACGTGAGGGACGCAATGGATCATCTTCACGACACTGTAAATATAACCACCTACACCATTATGTAAACTACCTTATTAATTACACAGTACTATCACAATTCTGACTATAAAGTTCAAGATACACCTATCCGCTTGTTAAGTGTGACGTCACACGAAGCGGCTTCCAGGTCCAAGCACTCTATCAAACTGTAAGAGGAGACTCATCAATTGGTAATAAAAAATGTTTACAAAGCGATGGAATACTTTCGAAAATCTCGATCGCAATATATATATCCATGCCTAATATTTGATGGCCAGAAAATGAATTATTGAAATGATACAAATTTTGGTATTTGTGATGCAGCAAGTCCAGATACATGTGTACACTATGATTTATATAGAATTCACTTTAAAGTGTGTTAGAACTAAAAAGTGGCCATAAACAAACATTTTGTCAATTCAAATGAGTAGCGGCTTGAACCCGGAAACAGTATACATCATGACTTAACAAGTAGATAATGAAAAAGCAGGAAGGATAATGTTTAAATCACTTTCAAAACATCAACAGCCAATCAGAATCAGTCCTTAAATACTTAAGCAAAAGACATTTATTATAAACGGAACATATCATCTGCTCATCATCAACTTACCTCTAACACCTGCATATTTGATGAGAGTCAAAAATGAAGAGTCATTTTACACAGCCAACTCTAATATAACGCTCCTTGAAAGCAAATATAATTTTTATTAATATCACACTTGTAACACTGTGATATAGCTCTCTCTCTCTCTCTCTCTCTCTCTCTCTCTCTCTCTCTCTCTCTCTCTCTCTCTCTCTCTCTCTCTCTCTATATATATATATATATATATATATATATATATATATATATATATATATATATATATATATATATATATATATATACACATCTGAGATTACCTACAGGGTTATGGATTACTGTGGTTTGTGTGTGCATGCAGATAGTTTGACCTGCTTTACAGCAGATGATGTGACAGATTCATTACAGGGCTTTTTCAATGGAGCAGATTATTACACTTTCCACATAGTATTTATTGTAATACTAGACTTTGATGTTTCACCTGTCACTGTCCCAAAAGTATAAGATGCCATTTATGGGGTTTTTTAATAGCAGATTATCACTAATGTTACATCGGTTTCAATGGAATTATTTGTAATGTTGTTAGCATATTTGAGTAAGAATTTTAGTTTTGTTTCATGCACTGATAAAAATTATATTGAGACAATGAGCATGGACGCTATCAAATAAGGGTTGAGTTTTATTAATTGTTGTAATCCATCACATTAATTCAAGTTCTGATTTAGTCTTTGACTCTGCAATTCGATAATCATCGGAAACCTATGCAAGTCTGATCTGGTTGACAACCACATTCATCATCCAAGCAAAACATCTTTTACCATCCATATTTTAAATTCAGTTTACATGCACACACTATTACAACCCAAAAAAATTAATCTGTTAATTAACTGCTTTTTATTTTATTTTGTGATTTACAAGTGTTTTCTGATAATTCATGATTGTGAATTGCATTATGGGACGTTGAGCTCTGCAGTGTTGACTCTACAGTTTAACAAAGTGACTTTTATGGACATTTAAGTTGTTTCAAATAATATAATGGATAAGAAATAATGTAAAGAGAAATGAAGCTGTAAATAGCAGTTTATTACAAGGTTTTTGAACTTTATTAATATACAACAACAACCCTGACAACATATCACTTTAAACTGTTAAAAAGTCACTTTTTTAAAATTTTCAAGGTGTTGGAGGAAAGATTAAGGTCCCAAAATACAATTCAAATGCTCAAATAAACAGGGCAAAAAAATTAATTACAAATAAATAAATCACAAAATGCAGAAAATTGCTTATTTACAGATATTTTTTTACAATGCGATTAACAATAACTACAAAATAATGATAAAACATGAGCAGCAGCACAGAGAACTACAGCAATACCAAACTATTATAAATTTAAATGAATTAAAACATGCACAGCTTCAAAATATTGCTTTCTCTGACAAAACTAATCTTTAAATATGAACATAAATTTACCAGAAGTAGTCGGATTACTTCGTTTTTTTTTTTTTAACTGACCAAGTGTGGAGATCTTAGAGAATAGTGTTTAAATACTGAACTGAACATTCATTCATTTTCTTATCAGCTTAGTCCCTTTATTAATCCGGGGTCGCCACAGCGGAATAAACCGCCAACTTATCCAGCAAGTTTTTACGTAGCGGATGCCCTTCCAACCGCAACCCATCTCTGGGAAACATCCACACACACACTCATACACTACGGACCATTTAGCCTACCCAATTCACCTGTACTGCATGTCTTTGGACTGTGGGGGAAACCGGAGCACCTGGAGGAAACCCACGCGAACACAGGCAGAAAATGCAAACTTCACACAGAAACGCCAACTGAGCCGAGGTTTGAACCAGCGACCCAGCGACCTTCTTGCTGTGAGGCGACAGCACTACCTACTGCGCCACTGCCTCGCCTTAATACTGAACTTGTTGACAATAATTGTTTAAAAGCTCAGACTGTGAACAAGAGTGTTTAACTCCTGACACTGTGCCATTAACTCCTGATGCTGTGCTGCAGATCTGATCATTAATTCTCTCATCGTAGGGCAGACAAAATTCTGAAGTGGCCCTCAGTGAAAATGGGTTTGTTTGCTGATATTGTATGTTAAGCAAGTTTGCAGTAAACATGATGGTTCCCGTTGTTTGAAACATGTATCGTGATTATTTAATATCCTAAACCGATTTTAAGCGTCAAATACTTGCATTGATTTTTTTTAACCAAATCGTGATGATTTAACCATATCCACTCAACAGTGAAAATATAATGGAAAAACAACTAAAACCATAACAGAACACAGCATTATTTTTTAACCTTCATCATCACTCTGTTCACTAACCACTGCAGCTGATACTGTGAGTAGAAATGTCAATATAAATGCATATAATTAAATAAAAGAGTGTGATTATCAGCTAATGTTCAGAGTCATAGACAACGCCCAGTTGCTATTCTAACCACACCATTGATTATAAAAACTGACTGTTCATCAATGATTCAAAATCTTGTTGACACTTTTTAACACTATGAAATGGCAGAATAATTTATCACAGATACTTGTTTATCAGCACACACCATTAAATCAGGCAACTATTTTAAGTCTCCCTGTAAAAATGCTGTGAAACGGGTGAGCAGATCACAGATGGATGAGCTTAATGTGACTGTGAGCTTGTTTTACTTGACTCTGGTTATTAAATGACCCACTCACAAGAGGCGGGACGGTCCTGTGGTCATTGCTGACCCCTGCAGGGTCATTGTTGCATATTCTCTAGGCAACAATGTCTTTGTATCTGTCCAAATATCTCTAACCTAAATCCAACTATATTATCATACCACGTACAGAGAGATACATATCATCAATTCTCTAATCTCTCAAAGCTCCAGACATTTTGTCTCCTCCATGTGACCAGTCACAAATACAAATGCATCTTCAGTGATTCTATCTCTTTGATAAGCAGATCTTTCACTTTCTCCAAATATGGCCTGAAAAATGTCTCTGACAGCAACAGGACTCAAGGAAAAGTTTAATCAGCTTTACTGCTTCACTTTCGTACATTTAATTTGGGCATGTCTCATATTTTACCCCATTGCTGTAATCTTTATAGTGACCTTCATGTGTCATTTGCATCAGATCACTGCCATTCATAAATCCTCATGGGACAGTAAAGTGTCCTCTAGCATGAGCCTTTTCAGATTCCTGTCAGAAGTAGTTGGTCATCTGGCTTTCCAACCCATGTTTTATGAATATCCTGAATTCAGACATACTGCTCTGATTTATAATACTGACTTGTCACCTTAACTTCACAATATGGAGATAGACATGTTCTGACAGAGATGTTTATTGGTTATAGTTTAATTTCACTATACGAAAGTGTATGTGACAAATAAAGGCCTGATTTGATTTGATTATTCAGGAGTTCGTAACTCCATGAGGCACAGGCTCACTACAGTGTTGTTTTTGTTATTCAGGGGACACTGAAGGAACGGACTCTGAAAAACCTGGACAAGTACGTCATTAAAGATGTAAGTAACAATTATATTTGTTCTCAGATTGCAAAAGAAAAAAATCTGTTTACAATGGCTCTGTGTTTCCATTTTTACTTCACAAATTCAAATGATCTAGTCAGAGCGAATGGCATAATGACTAAAGTGAATGATTCTATGACTCAAATGATCTGATTCACATCATCAGATGATCCATTTGCAAGTCTCCAGTAAATGATTTTACAGATTAAAAGAATTTCAAAATAAGTAGAAAAAAGGTGTTCCACACTGGTGGAACAAAATGAGTCACTAATGCTTTTGGATTTAGGATTATAACTGAATTTAAGTCACAACTGTCTGTTGGCTACTGTTAAAGCCCACATATTAAATTCTTCAGTGGGACATCGCTTCTTTTTAAAGAGCCCCTATTTTGCATTATAAAATGTCCTATTTTGATTTTGGGGTCTTCAACAACAGGCTGATATGCATGCAAGGTCAAAAACACTTTCATTGTCTTATAATATGCTACTATTTTTACCTAATTGTTTTGATGAACTATGACGTCACCTTGTAGGCCAATCAGCTGCTAGCATAAAACTGGTTCCCTCAATAAAATCCCTATATGATTTTCCCATAGGCTTTTCAAAGATTGCAAATAATAAGCTTTGTGTTCAAAGTTCAAACACAGTTCATTATTACACTTACACGTTTTGTCCAACCGGATAATCCTCATACGAAAATACAACTTTTAGCACTTTTGGATCTTAAAATGCAAACGCAAGAATTAAAAAGCCAACATTAGGCTATAAACAGACTACACAGCCCTCCGGGCGCTCGTCTGTGGCATCAGCACCACCCAACTCGCTTTCGGGTTTTTGCATACAAATTGACATCAAAGTTCCTCCACTCTACTATCCCAACGACTCCCATTTGATTCGTTCAGCGATTAATTTGTTCCCAAACCCCTCCTTTGCGCAAAGCTAATCTGCTGTGATTGATCCGATGACCCAGTTTGTTGTGATTGTTCGACTGCATATAGCGAGAGATAGAGAGAAATGCCCACCATGGTTATGAAGTAGCACATAGAGGATGTGAGAGCTCAATGCAGGAGTGCATTAAAACAATGCAGTTAAACACCAGCATATTACTCTACTCTTAACCCTAATCCCAAGCAATAACAACCACACACACTCATTATTAATCCACACAGTGGCAAAAGTTGAACCATGTGAAAATTGACTATAGCGAAGACAAATGGCAGAGGAACGAGAGTTCAGAAACGCATTTAAACAGGTAAAGGAAGAAGCATGCGTCACGTTTTCAACATGGTTTTGGATGCAATATTTAAAAATAGCCCCATACAGATTTAACCTGAGAGATACAGTACAAGCACTGATCTGTAATAGATTGTATTGAAGTGTTTACAAGTTAGAACACACAATCAAATACATATTTAGCAAACTACAGAAAACGAGGCAACAATTTTAATTACACTTACATGTTATGATCTGGAGAAAGAAGAAACTGGTCCATATGAAATGTAACAGTTACTGACAAACTCCCATACATAATTGACTCTGTTGTTTCTTCCTTTAATAGCAAACGGCCGGCGAATCCCACGTTACAGCGTAGGTTATTGTATCAAAAATCTGAAAAATGACAGGAACAAACACAGCACATGGTTGACTTTACTGTGGCGTTGTTGTAAAAATGAACTTCAACCATTTATTCCCCACAGCCCAATCTCCATCAGTCAGTGATCGTCATCTTCGTGTCAGGATCAGTCCAGTAATTCCGCCGCGCTCCGCAAGTGTCTGAAGGGAAAGTCACTTTTACGTTTTACCGGATACGATTCGACATATTTGGTAATGCGTCATGTCGACGCGTTTAGACAAAAGATTCGAACCCAACACAATTCATTTATTCAACTCACAACTATTTTGTTAAAAAATCAATAGTTTTAAACACGGCGCACTTTCAGATTTAAACCTTAGCTGGATGTTTTCATTCACTTAGTGTTGTGTTACACACTGCATGGAAGATTATTTTCAAATAGCCATAATAGGGGCCTCTTTAATCATTAGGACATTTGAGTCATCATTAATTATCAGAATGGTTCTCAGTGTATGAAAAGTTTGGGCAAGAAAATTCTGCATTTTCTTGCTAAATAAATGATCAGTAAATACATTTTGCTTTTAATACTGGAGTAATCAGCATTTCTACTTTGACTGGAGACATTATGCTTCATGGAGAAGTTATGGAGACGTCAATTTGTTTTTACTTCATCCATTGCTGCTGATATAATAGATTTGAATGTCCCAAACACTCCTTCACCTGCATTTGCTCTGGTTTAGCCTCGTATTCCTGTGTTACTGAGCCGCATCAAAGAGGTCGCTAAAGTGTTCCTGGCCACCAACAGCGACTTCAATTACACCGAGGTAAGAAGAGACCGCCAGACCTCCAGAAATTATTTAAACCACCATCCGACAGCCTGCAGATCGTTGCACACTGTCATTAATATTCATAATTCACTTCTAATCACACTGCATCCCATCTTTTCTCAAATTAGGCTATCATGAAATACTTACTGGATGCGGCGACAAGCTCTAAGGTGAGAAACATGGACGGACAGAACAGAAGTCTTGCTTGTGAGCATTTTTTGATTGCTTTGAAAGATATTAATACTGTTGTGTTCCAGGGCATGAAAAAGTCATGGCGCTCTTACTTTGACCTGGTGGTTGTGGATACGAGGAAGCCCTTGTTCTTCGCTGGAGGGACAGTTTTACGCCAAGTGGACACAGTGAGTTTCTGCCGTCAGCGAGGAGTGAAGTGTGCTGGACAAAAAAAATATACACAGGTCAGAGATGCAGAAGAGCATGTGGTCAAGCATCAAACAAATGAACAAAAAACATTCAGAATAGTAATAGGTTTGCATATTTAGATCATTAATCATTTGTTGACATTGAACGTCTCTATTTAAGGATCATATTGTAGCCCAAAATACAAATTATTTGTCATTTGAAATCTTTATCTTTGTCAACAACCTTTTTAACAATTATGTTTTAGTCGATTTGTCAAGTTTTTAACCATTAACATTAAACCTATATATTTTCTTTGGCTGATTTTTACTGTTCTTTGGAAATTAACGTTCATAAAGGAATCAAGATAATATGTCACAAAATCAAGATTTCAAGTACATATAGATATGGTATAGTGATATATAGTATAAAAATAATATAATAAACTTGCTTACTCCTAGGGCCTTTTATATCGAAGTTGAAAATTTGCCGCACCATGTTGGTGATTCGTAACATATAGTTTTTGAGGTGGGTCGTTAGCCCAACGTGCAATCCCCAACCTGGAGGACCAGGACATACACGCATACACTACGGACAATTTAGCTTACCCAATTCACCTATAGCGCATGTCTTTGGATTGGGGGGAAACCGGAGCACCCAGAGGAAACCCACACCAACAAAGAGAACATGCAAACTCCACACAGAAATGCCAACTGACCAAGCTGGGGCTTGAACCAGCGACCTTCTTGCTGTGAGGTGACTGTGCCAAGCACTCCGCCACCACGTCACCAAAGTATATATAATTATAAACTAAATAAAATTTACTCGCAAACCTGTTTGAGTTATTTTTTTTCTGCTGAACACAAAGGATATTTAGTTGGAAACCTGTGCAAAATGTTGGAAACCTGTAACCTTTGACTTCCATAGTTGTTTTTTCCTACTATACAAGTCATTGTTTACAGGTTTTTTTTTCAACATTTTAAAAATATCTTCTTTCATGTTCGACAGAATAAAGAAACTCATAGAGCTATTGAACAAATTGAGAATGGGTACATTTAAATTTTGGGGCCTTAACAATCCCAAACCCCATCAAAACTGGTCTTAATATATCATTTTTTTTAATTGTTTTCTTATGGTTCATGACAAAACATTATAAACATATCACAAATGATCACTGGTAGGCCTACTAAATGTAAAGCCAGGGTGTTTGCAGTGCTTACTATGGATAAAAGTACAATATTATAAAGAGAACCTTGTCATTTTATATTGTGTTACAAAACATTATCACAAAAGACCACAAGTCTTCCAACAGTGGGATACATACAGGGACCTCTACTTTGTCCTTAGTATGTAATTTGTAAAATAAAGGTTCATACCAAGCCGTTTTAGTCATTATATTAACGCATTCTTTTAACTCTGGAATTTTTTTTGAGTTTTCCAGTGTTTTAAAATGACTCTTGCATCACTAAAATCCCCACTATGATCACTCTCTTTTAGTAATATTTGGCATCTGTTCCCCGTCTCCTGTCTTAATATTGATTTTATTAATATTTGATTACTGAGCAGGAAATTATCAAATTATTTTATATATTACATATACATATTACATATATATTGTCAGGAGCGAGTGACCTTATTCTGAAAATTCTGCTTTGCATCACTGAAACAAATGACAATACATTTATATTACATTTGATTTGCAGCGAATATATGTAAAATATATAAACATCTTATAGACTTTTGCATGGCAATATATACACATACTGTATATTTTTATTAACGTTAATCACAACGTTAAGACAGTCTGTACTTCTCTTGCCCTTTCTCCTGCAGGACACTGGGAAGTTGCGTATCGGCACGTACACCGGAGACCTCCAGCATGGGACGGTGTATTCTGGAGGTAAAACCCGACATCCCCTTCTTCATCATCATCATCATCCTCCTATTACATGAAGCCACTGTGTTTACTTTATCACTGTTTAACTCATTCCTCAGGATCTTCTGATCTAGTCTGTGACTTGCTGGATGTGAAGGGCAAAGACATCCTCTATGTGGGCGATCACATTTTTGGGGACATCCTGAAGTCCAAGAAGCGACAGGGCTGGAAGACGTTCCTTGTGGTTCCTGAGCTTGTGAAGGAACTGCATGTGTGGGCAGACAAATCCAGTGAGTGTGCTTACATGCACAACATTACCCCATATATCAATAAAGAGATACCCAAAACTGACAATTCTGTCATCATTTACTCATCATCCTCGCTTTCCAATCCAGTTCGACTACTTTTTTTATTCTTGTTGTTGAACATAAAAGAAGATAGTTTGATGAATGTTGAAAACTGATAGTATTTTTTTCTATGGTCAAAGACTACCAGTTTTCCAACGACAAAAAAAGAAACTCAAAGGGGTTTGGAAGAAGGTTGAATATTTGTCGTTATGTAATATTTATGTAGGCATACATTTTAATTAGGAAATGATGTCATGTGAATGTTATAGCCTAACTATAGTTTTCCTTTTTCTGAGTAAGGTCAAAAATGTCATAAACCAACAGTCAAGGCTAGAATTTTGCCCCTTATACTAATTTCATCAGGGATGTAAAAGAATTAACCTGATTTCTGCCGGTTTATCATGTGAATTAAATACACATGCATGAGCACTTCTAGGAAATAAACGCATTCATGGAGCAAATATTTTGCAGCAATTGAAAATCAAATAGACACTTTCTTGAACCATTTTTTAAAAATAAAAATGTGCTTTTATCTCATGTAACTGAAATAGAAATTCTCCATTTTCAGATGACCAAAGGCTAAGCTATGATGCTAACATGTAGAAATGCTTATTTATTGCACATGACAACAGAGATAACAAATGAAATACTGAAGATGTTATGTTTTGAAGTCACTATTAATTTATTAACAAAGTCCTGTTTATGCAGTTCACTTACATTTGTGTATTATTGATTAGCATGAAGCTAACAGGTTATTTCAGCAAGAATGTGAGTTAGCCTGTCAGTTTATTGGTGTGAATGTAAATACACTCAGTTTTGTTAATTGACTAATGTCTTTAAAAAACTTTAGGTTGAAAACACGCTCTCGCTTGTCTGTTATAGGTATGTTTGAGGAGCTGAAACACCTCGACATCTTCCTTGCAGAGTTGTATCAGTAAGTAATAGTCAATTAGTCATTGATCCCAATAGTATCCAGCTGCGGGTGCAATGCATGACATGATCGATAGATGGCGACAGAGAACTTCAAAATCTGCACAGACTTCACATTTGCTTCTTTTGAATGTAATATTTTCAATATCCTGTTGTGCTGTCCTACTGCTGACCTTGTGAGTATTTCTGTCAAAGAGTTTCACCTTAAATTTGACATATTTCTCTAGCATCCTTCTTGTGGACATTTTTTGACCTTTCAGTGTGAACTATATAGCATTTTTGACACATTTTACATATAAAATGAGACCGGCTACACATATAATACAAGGCCTTATTTCACTTTTCTGTTACAAACTAAGTCATTTATTAATGACTATACTAATTCTAAACCACTAAATAAGTACTTTTAATTTAGTGTATCAAAATATGATCAGAACATGCACGCACTGAATAATGTTTTAGTGGTTGTCTTCTGTAAATAAATGAAAACTAAAACTGTACAGTTTAACAACAGTTCATGTACTGTTATGTAATGACTGTTCACTTTGACTGCTCTCTCTTTTTTTACCCATCAGGCATTTGGACAGTGGAAGTCAAGAGTGTCCAGATATCAGTGCGATCCAGACCAGGATAAAGGTGAGAGCAGGATATATTTGATCTACAGCTGTACAAGCCACTGGATAGTCCTCACTTTCTTTGAATTTATGATTTGGATTTATGAGGGTTTGGGTAGAAAGTCGATTTGTACTTGTATGTGCAACATTTAAAAAAAAAAAAAAAAAGACAGTCAAAATAACATTTTCATTTTTCTTAACAAAAGTCCAGTGTATATACAGAGTAACTGAGGATTGTTAGGTATATTTTAATTGATGACATTAATGTTGTATTATTGTTTGTGCAGATGGTGACGTACGGCATGGATCTGTGTTATGGGAAGATGGGCAGTTTGTTGCGCTGTGGCTCTACTAAAACACTGTTCGCCAGTCAGTTACTGCGGTATGCAGACATTTACTCAACCACCTGCCTTAACCTGCTTAACTACCCCTTCAGCTTCCTCTTCAGAGCCCCGCTCGTCCTGGTGAGCTTAATACACACATTTCCACATAATATTTTATTCCATAATATTTTAGAATATGTACTTTTTAGAATATTTTGCTTGATTTACAACATTTGTTATTGATATTGTTATGATCTGTTTAATAAATGTTTTTTAAATACCTGTCACTTGTAACGTGATGGTTCAATTATGATCTATTATAATATATATATATTAATTTAATTATGCTTTATATAATAATATATATAAAATTCCATGCAAATGTCAACCTTGCCATGAAATAAATTATGTTTTTAGCAAAATATAGAAACAGTTTCTCCCTTTTTTGTGTGGGCTTGTATTTTACAGTACTTTAGAAGTACTCTAAAACGTTTCTGTCAGTTTTTTCAAACAATTATATTTGATTTACCGAAGTCACACAAGTGTCAATTTTACATCGGTTACATCCAACCACACTTTTTCATCATAAATGCAAAAATGTCAAATAAAATCAATCATTTTTCTTCTATAGAGAGACGCATTTTATTGTTTTGATTATTGTTTCTTTTGGGTTGTGCAGCTTAATTCACAGAATTTCTACAAAGTATGTTGTATACTGTAAACTTGCATACTTATTTGGTCACATCCATAATACATGTTTATTTTCCTTATTTAAAGTACAAACATGTTTACAGATTGAGATTTTTCTGGTCCCTTAACTCTGTGGGCAGTTGTTTTGGAAAATATAAACAGATGTTTTAATATAATGCTAACATAGATTTTTCTATGAGAATTTATAATCTATTCTCAAAGTTGGGTTGGGAGCTGGGTCTGTTCTACACAAGCTAAAAAAGAAAAGAAAAAGAAAGTCATCAACTTTCACCTTGATATTTTAGTGCAGATGTATACCTAACTGGTGAGCCGTCTGACAAAAAAGTGCCCCTGCTGATTTGATGCCCGTCTGGATATATATATATATATATATATATATATGGTTGTGTGTGTGTGTACAAGTTTTAAAAAAATAAATAAATTGTAGAATAAAATCTGGATATTTTGCCATAATTTCATATTATTATAAAGTTGCATATAATATTTTAGTAGTTTTTTTTACCAGTAACTTTATTAATTAATAACAATATACATTTTATATAGTCGTTTTACCGTTTTAAAATAATATAAGATTTTAACTTAAGACCACGGAAAAGATTATAGAAACTGGTGATCTGATGATTTTGATTGGTTGTTTTGTGTGTCAGTTGCCACATGAGGCCGCTGTGGAGACTCAGAATAAAGAGCAGATGGCAGAGCTGTCAGAGCACATGCGCAGAACCAGCCTCAAGGTCTTGTTTACTATCATTCATTCAATCATTTATGTTTTGATGCATATTTTACATATATTACACGATGTTCATAAATGCTTTAAATGGTAGGCTACCATTCTATAATCATGATTTTCTTCTTTCTGAAGTGTTGACCTCAGCACATCTTCAGGTTTCTTTTAATTAACTTACAAAATGACCAAATTAACATTCAACAATTCTATAAGAAAGAATTTTCTGTTGTACCCGGTATATTCACATTGTTGTTAAGACTTTGTAAAAATAAAAAACTATAAATAAATAAATAGAACACTGTTTTCTCCTCAGCAGCGTCAGTGTGAGTGTGAGGATGGAGATTGTGGACAAGATGACAACTGTGCCGCCAGAAACAGCGCTTCCACTTCAACTTCAGACAAATAGACATTTTCAGTTTGTTTACTGCTGTAAATAGGCCTATGATTTTTTTTTAACTTGCATATGTTTTACCTTCACACGTTTCCATTGCTGTGTGTTGCTGTTCCATAGTTCCGCTCGGATATGTTTCCACTTCCGGCAGAAAGTAAACGGAATTAATTTGCCAAGTTTGCGATGTCTTATTGAGTTAACAGCTGTTATTTGTAAAGCAGGTATAAATCAGTATTTAAGCATTTTGTAAAACTTTTGTATTCTGTAGATTTAAATATGATATTCAGCCTTTTGTATGACAGTCACCATTAATGCATGAAAACTGGACAAGAACAATCTGATTTTGAAGTTTCATTAGAAAAGTTCGTTTATATCTCTATTTAACTATTTACATCAATACAGGGGTTGACATGAAGACTATAAAATGTTTCTACTCCTGTGAATGCTTTGTTTACTATTTTTCATAATATTATCGAAATTACGATTAAAGTGTTTATTTTAGACACTGTTGTCGTGTTCATTTCTACAGGTATTTCATGGAGCACAAACTCTTGAATTTAAGACTAATTACATTTTAATTAGCTGTAGGCCTGTATACCGAAAAAATGGACTAAATCAGCAAATCCGCGAAAACATGTAATTAAATCCAAACAATAGAATAAACGATATAATATAGACCTAAATAGATCAAATCTGAACACACGGACATCTTCAGGCAAATCACTGTCTGCATGGCGTCCGTAAAATGGCGGCAGAGGTGAGGTTTTTAAACGGAGAGCTTATTTTGTGCAGTAGGACCATCTGACTATTTTCTGGATTTATATTGGCCTACCTCTGCTGATTGTTTTGGTTCAGTCAGATCTCGCGCTGTTCTTGATTTCCGTTGTGTTGATCATCTCTGGCCTGTTTTCCACAATAAAATACCCTTAATGAGTATGGACAATAATGCTTAGATATCGATTAAATAGCCTGCATTAAATGATCAGCAGGTTGCCCAGATTACTTAAATTAGTGTGCAGTAGCCGCAGCACACGTGCAAGTGTTTCTTTTACATAGGCTACGTCATCATGATCTTCAAGCTTAATTTGCTAAAACTTATTTTAAAAAAGCGTTATTGGAAACGAAGCATTTAGTCCAGATTTCACCAAAGTAAAACAAACATGTGTGGCAGTTTTCACTAAAGTCGGAATGGTTTGTATGTTAATGTTGTGTGTGGGTGGTAGTAGTCAATGTTTAAGTAAACAGGCCTTAACCTTTAACAAAACTATACAAAAAATGTGACCACCCCTCAGGTCCAGAATTTGTCCCATACGCTCATTTGTCCTGTCTTGACTGCTATGCCATCATAAATAGTTAAAATAACCCATCGAAAAAGGCTTTAGGACCAAGCTGAATCCTGGTGTGATTTTATAGTTACCCAGTAAAATTATTTTTCATTGTTAATTATAAGAGTTCTATTTCCAGGTGTGCAAAAAAACATCTGATATAAATAAAGTCACATTTCGCGACTGTATTGTTTTTAAAAAGAGAAAACGCTTGACAAGTTACTTATATTCTACCAATCTTGGGCCTTATTTTTGAAAGAAACCATGACCAATAAAATAAGTGTGAAGCACTTTTACAAGAGAGGCTACAAAAATTGTGAAGCTCTAAATTAATATTAAAATGTTTCAGTTTTTTATAATTCAAATGGCCAAACTCTGACTGAGGAAAGTTGAATGTGCTGACCAGGTTGTAATTTGCTTCATAAATTACACTAGGTTACAGTTTTTCATTTTAAAACTGTTTCCTGATGATGTGTAATACATTTCTATATTAAAAACACATGTTTGTCATATTTCTTTATTCTAAATATTTAGGAAATATTTTGGTACATCAAAAGGTTTGGTGATGACGACAATCCAACAAGCTAATTCAGCTAAAAATAGTGCTTAAAATGTCACCTACATTCAGGTTGAAATCTCATTAAATAGAAAATGAGGTGAATCACTGCAAAAACGTCCACTATTTGAGAAAAAAAAGAACCAACCCTTTCACCAGGCTGGCTACGGGCCTGTCATTAGAACCATAATGTTTTAATTACAAGCTTGTTTTATAAAATCAATGTATCATTTAATCCCGAACTGCATGTTTAGGTAAAACATTTCTTGCAGGAAAATCTTTTACTTATTTGTACTCGCATTATAAGTTGACTGCATTTGTCAAGGTCAAACACACTCAAATACAAACTTTTTTTACACTTGTTCAAACTACTTATTTAAAATGAGCTGAAACAACAGTTCTTGAGATTTCATTGGGACAACTTAAACACAAATTTGTTAAAAGTGTTACGTTAACTTAATGGATTTGTGTTGAGACGACATAAATGAGTTGTGTGGATCTCTGCATTTTTTACACTGCATCTGATATGATGAGCCACACACTAGTTTAAAAAATCTTTTCAAACAGTTTTCTTCACATGACTGCCAATATCTTCAAACTAGCATTTGGCAGCAAACTTATTTGTTTATTTAAAACCACAAGAATTAGGGTTTAATACTGCACAATGTTTTAGGAAACAGGAGTTGCAAAAACAAACAATAAAAAAAGCTAAACAAGATACAATGAAATTCATAAAATTAATTACAAATTTGCTTTAATTTTTGATCCATTTTGAAGCACAACCTTACATTTTTCCCTGCAGTGAGTTTAGTAAAACTACAGCTCTCCAACAGAAGATCAAGTGTTATTGTGAATGTAATTGTTTTCTTGAAAAACATCCTAGTGTGTTAGGCCTGAAGTGTTGCTCCTGCTATTCCTGTGCTAAACCTTTAGTATGGATTGATTGCCCTTTGAAGCTAATTGGGTTCAATGTAACAGACTCAAATTCAAACAAATCCAGCAAACCACATCTGCGTTTGCTTTGAAATTCTTACATCACTGATAACAATGTAGTGTTATAGTTCACATAGGGATAGTTCAAACAAACAAAAAAGTTTTTTTTTTGGACCACAAAAATGAAAGAAACCACAAAATAAAAATCTTCAAACTCTTCCGTGTCAAACACAGTTAAAAGCAACAAGCATTACATTTTTAAAAGTGTTCAAGTATAGGTGAGGTAAAAAAAACAAGCTAGAATTTCCTTATGCACAACAGTGTGTACACTAGTGCTGCGGTTTATTTATACTTGCCCAGAAAAAAAACATTTTAGTAAATATACCTCTTGAATTTGTTGCAACAGAATACATGCTGCTTTTTAGCCATCTGCCATCTTAATAGTCTATTGAGATTTTCAGCTCAGTGAAGAAACGTACAACTGCACACTTTGTAAGGATTTTGAACTTCTAGGCATTGTTCATGTTGCTTCACAGAAATACAATGATTCACAGATGATTCCTTGAATTTACTAAATCTTCTTTAAGTTAAGTGGTTGTAAACAATTCATTTGGGCTGAATTTAAACAATTAAATATAAGTTGAACATTTCTCAATTTAATTTGTTTCTGTAAATTAAACACAAATAAATTATTTGCAACAATTTTGCAGGCATCATTCTTTCAGTATTGGTGAGCTGGTGTTAAATTTGACTGATTTAAGGATTCTCCTCACAGAGCATGCTGCACAACCTATTGTCTAAACGCTGGGGATTTCTTGGCAAGACTCCAACCATGCCCCCTTAAGGGCCATTCACACCTTGCAGCATAATAAAAGTAATAATAAATAACGATAAAGACATCATTCTAAAAATGATCTGAATGTAAACAACAGCAGAGCTGAGAACACAGCTATAATGATAAAGATGTAGAGAAACAATATCAGTGGGATCACTTTCAGAATTCTTTTGTCCAGCTTATGAACAGTAAAACACTGATATCCAGTCAGAATTGATTAAATAATAAAGGGCTCACACAAGGCCTCAGGTATCCATGGTTAGTTTTGGCATCACCTCCTTTGAGAATGCCGAGGCAAAATAGTCAGTGTTGTTTTTATTCCATACACTGTCTGCAATTGCTTAATTGAACGCTTTTTTTAAATTGGTCTGATGCGAGGACATCTGTTAAAGAAGCATAAACCAAAAACAAACAGATCTTTATCATTTGCTGTTGTGGACAAATTTTGTTATATAAAATGTCCATGGTGTGAACTGCCCTTTAAACCACGACAAATGATCCAAAAGCTGCAGCATGTTCTTCGATGAGTCCAAGAGAACCCAGGTCACAGCTTTCTTCTTCTGCCTGTGCTGGACACCATTCGCAGCTCGTATAGAGTTTAAATCATTGATGCCTGCATACAGAACAGCCAGAGGCTCTTCACCCTCCTACTTGCATGTGCTTCCTCAAGTCTACACCCCCTTCAGAAGGCTTCAGTTGGTAAGTAAGCACTGCCTTGTGGTACCATGATTAAAAAAACTCTCAACCACTTTCCAGAACTTTTTCCCTCACTGTTCCTCACTGGTGGAACAATTTTTCCAATTTCATACAGACAGCCGTTTCATTGGTAACATTCTAACAGCAGCTAAAAACATATCTATTCGAGCTATGCGAGAACTTTACTACAACCTATAGATAAAAATGAATTGAATGGCTCATTGCCTCCCTACCCTACTTTTTAGCTCTCATGTTCCTGTTTGACTTTCTTTTTTAATAAACACACAAAAAAAATATTGTGAAGACTGTTGGAAACTCATAACCATTGACATCTATGGTATTTGTTTCTCCTACAATAGAAGTCAGTTGTTAGGATATCAGATTTCTTCAAAATATCTTTATTAGTGGTTAACAGAATAAATAAACAAAGTGTTGGAACCACTTGAGGATGAGGAAACTTTCATTTTTGAGTGAACAATCCCTTCAATGAAGAAAAGTGTGCACAGTAATCCCTTGGACAATACGAAATCTGACATGTGAAAGCGTTCTTTAAGAAGCTTGAAATAGTCTTCAACGGTTTGTGATTTGTAATGATTCACGCAGTGTTCGTGTGGTGTAATTTTCATCATCAGAAATGACCATAGCCATTTGCACACACACTATCCACATGCAGTCAAATTTAGTGGCAGGACAGCAAAACAGAAACAACAGCCGGGTGAGTGAACTATAACTGGATTATCATTATTGTGTGGAAAAACCCATAGAAGACACCAGAAATCCAACAAATAGATTCATGTCTGCAAGTTTGACAATCCTCAGACCTGGAAGACGAGGTGAGTCGATTAAGCACTTGTAACAGTTTCATTGAAATGGTTTTTGACTCTTGTTGAACTCAATAAGCACAAACACTATGTGCAATTAACTAACTACACAGTACACCCATTGAATTTGTGTGCCAATGTTTGGGTTTGTCCATAATTGCCCCAAATTTGGGTTGGATAAATCCAGTATTTAATTTTTTTTACAGTAAAGGTGTAACTGGTATAAAAACAAGTAATTTTTCCACCATATTTAAAAAACCCACATCAAATTAAAGACAAGCATATTCTTGAGCAATCTTCTTATGAAAGAAGCGAAAGCACCCAGTAGTGGCGTGTCTCACAGACACATATCATCTCCCATTCCTCACATTCCACCATTTCCCAGCAGCCTTTGCAAACGTGCCCCGACAAGTCGCATACATTACTGAAACAGTTGAGGTGCTGAGAGTTTCCCACCCGAGAGATAAACAGGGTTAACATTTAACCCAAGGCGTAATCCTAAAACTGCGCCACTGCCTTGGTGCAAAAGCGACTTTCAAAGCCATTTCTTATCAATAAGCATCAGATAACGACACGTTTACGATCATAACATGTATGTTTACTGTGAATATATGATAAGAGTAACCTATGCAACCTCAGAAAGTCAACAAGAGTGTGTTAGTAAAGACAAGGGCAAGTAGAGACGGCTCTCGTATACAGGCCTGGTATGCGTGATTCAGAGTCTATAGGGTGGATTGGCGCAGTTATGTTAAGGACTGTTTCAGCAATGCCGAGAGACACGTTTAGCAGTGGCGGGCCTCTCCTGACCCTCCCCCACCCCGAATTCACAACTGGACTCCCTGCATTCCACTGAAAACATTCCCTTCCCCCTGCTAACCTGTGACAAGGAGGGTCCGACCAGAGCACCTTTAATTCGCCCCTTTAGCTTCACACTGAGCCTAATGCATGGACGACTTCTAAGGCAAAAGAGGAAATAAAGGATGCCTGAACTCGGGTTTTAGGCTAAAAGAGCGCTTTTATTTGATTTATGTGCATTAGGTTACAGTTGGAGGTTAATGTAATGCGATGACCTGTGTGAGCAGCCACTTGTTTCCCAGCGTTCCTGTGTGCGTTGAGCATATCAGAGGCTAAATGCTATGACAATACTATTGCACTGCTAGAATGGATGGTACAGTAGTGCAACATCGTCAGAGCAGCTGACCTCAGCACATCAGCACGCGGACAGAGACAGCCATCTTCTTTGGCCAATGACTGCTGGCCTTCTATTACTTATATATATATATATATATATATATATATATATATATATATATATATATAAGTAAAATATATATATACACCATAACAAATAAAAAACAAGTAATATTAACAATTTCCTACCGTTACCAGTTACATTCTATACAACTATATTCAAAAAAATTACAATACATAAAAAACAACTTTGAGGCAAATTGCAATATTCTAACACATTTTAAATATTAATATTTTATAATGAGTATAATTTACAATATTGCATATTTAGCAATAGGCCTAATGCAATCAATTATAATTATTATAACAAAATAAAATGCTACCACACATAAAATTATAATAATTATTATTAAATAATAATTAATATATACAAATAATTACATTTATCTAATAATTTACAGTGTTATTGACATGCTGCATGTAGCAATATGCCTTTGCACAATGTAAACTATTGTAAACTGATATGATCAAATAAATTAGTTTTTTTCAGCTATTGTTCAGTTATTTAACAAATATTACTAATACTTAAAAAATGATTATCTGCCTTATCTAAAGCAATATTACTTATTTAATTGAAAAAAATATTATTTATTGATATCATTGATGAATAAAATGCCACCTCAATAACCAGAAACAAATTTTAAAAATATTTTTACTTTTATATTATTTACTTAATACTAAATTAAACAAAATGCAAGCAAAACAACCTAAACTTTGACTCTTAAACTCCCCCCAAAATAACAGTAAACATTTTATGACAATACAAATAACTGTGCATTTCTGCTAAATCAAGCAATTATCAAAATCAATACTTTGATGAAAAGGACAGTTTGTCAAACATTGACAGTTTGCAGTGGATTTTGCACATGCAGCGAGTGACTTTGACGGTTGTCCAGCTTTGCAGGCGTGTGTCGCTGCACATGTTAAATAATGTCAGAGCAGGAGAGGGTGAGAGGTGAAGGACTCTGTTCTATCAGCCAATGCCCTTTTAATATTGCACTGCTCTTCTGATTGGCCAGTAGTACAACAGAAAAAGGGCAATGGACAAAACATGGTCAATATCACCGTACAGACCTCTCCCTCATCATGCTTTACCATTGCATTTGATTTCTACAGTCTTTAATTGATTATTATGCACATTTGGTTGAAAAATCAAGGAAAAGAGCAGCTTACGTTAATTAGTTAAATCATGACTTCAAAAACAAAATGATTAATGCATTGAACTCTAACTAAATGACTGCAATAGCAGATTAACAGATTTAACCAGAACGTTTGAGAAAGCAAATGGTAAGGAAAAGCAAAGTTTTCACTTCATTTATGGATCCTGAGGGGCTCTGCTTTACAATAAAAACACTTTATTAAAGCTTGAAAATAACTGTAATATATAATGATATAACAAGCTAACTTCTCAAACAGATGTCTCTGATTTAACTTCATGCATCCACATGTGACATGATAAAATGTCAGATCTTCAGAAACAGCTGGAATGTGTTTTCGTTTAAGTTGAAACACTGATAGTTGCGTAAGATTCAGTGAAATCAAACCAAAGTAAAAAACTAAACTAAAAATAATAACGTTAAATGACAATTTTAATTGAAGTGCTCCAACACTTTCTCAGTTTATATCTATGAATTATCTATGTTAATTCCTGCATTTTATGACGACTGATTCAGGACTGAAAATAAATACAAATACGCCAAAACTAAGCTTACAAAGCATCTTTTAGAACTGAAAGCGAGTTTTACAGTTAAACATAATTACAATGTATACTGACTCCCCAAAAGTTCACAGCTTTTCCAGGCTTGTAAACCTATTTTAAATTTCCCTAATATTTGGTTTTCCAATGCAGTGGAAACACTGTCAGCTTTGGAAATCATACGACTTTATGAACCTTTTATAACGCGTGTGAGCTTTGACAGCTTTTAACACGTAGCATAATTTGCATGAACATTTTCAGACTTGTTGCTAACCATAACAAACTTCCCGAATTACAATCGACTCTTCATTAATTCTGCGATTATTGATATTCACATCGCACGCGTTATAAATCAGTTAACTACATAAAAGTAAGCCGAACTAACCACACTCACGTGTTTGTTTTGATTCGCATTAAATGTAAAGCATCAAAATCCCAACTTAACTTCAGCACACAAACGAAATTACAGATAATAACGGCAGCGTGTTTACATTTACCGTTTAAAGGGTCATTCGTACCTGAGCACATTATCAGCGCGTAGATTTAAAAGGCGACAATTGGTTGATCCTCGTCTGCTTTCTCAAACACAAACACAGCTCAGCACTGAGAGGCTCTCGTACCCGCGGGTTGATGCCTGACACACGGTCCTGATGCGCATGAAAATGAGGCGAGTGGATTGGTCCCATCCATCCAAACTCTCCTTTGCGCCCTACAGACCCCGCCATTCCCGCCCAATCGTCCCGAAAACATGAAGAGCACACAGTGAACCCCCAAATTCATGAATGGCAGCGAACCAAGGGAGGGACACTCCGTCAGAGAAAAGAGGGAGAGTGAGAGAAGAAGAAAAGTTGAGGAAAAATGTGCAAAACCTGGACGCCTTCATCTTCGGTCCTTTTTCAAACGGTAAACGTAATAAAACTGTCGGTTTTAAAGAGCGCTAAGTTAAAATCTCACCGCGCGACTCTGCGAAATAAATGAGCAAATGTAGAGACTCGCGGCCTCACGGCCTTCCAGCGTCAGACTCCATCTTTGACTAGTTGACATTCAGATCCAGCCGGAGCAAATGCCTCATTTGCATGCGCGGCGCTGACTGGTGAGCTGCTGCGCTAGTCTGTGCCGTGCGACTCGCCATTGGCTGAATGCGTAGCTCCTTGGCGCTCTGACTCGCGCGGTGATTGGACGGCAAACCGATAGCGCCGCTGCATACTTTAATTGAGCAACAAATACGCGACGAACTGTCTCATTCACAAATTTGCCATCAGCGCTCAACATCACAGGCGACAGCACTGATTACGCTTGTCCGCTGGATGATTATCGATGATAAACATTTCTCATTTCCGTTTGGTTTTATTATTCTATTGGATTGTTTGCAGATTTAGTGCAAAACTTTAGGACATGAAGGAGATGAGTTTAATGTATTTTACATAGAGCTTTTACATTGTTATAGAGCTTTTACTATTTTATAGATTTTTAATTACTTTCATATAATTATTTGACATATTTTACATGCTTTTACGTAGCCAGTGTTTTTAAGAAACATTCACATTTGTGAGGATGTGTTAATGCTCTGCTTAACATACAGAGTTGCAGATCTGATATAATGCATTAGATTGTCTAATGTCACACAAAAAGTGCATTTTTTTCTCATATATATATATGCCTATATAATAACCATAACTAGGTTTTACCCACTCATTAGCAAGAACTTTTAAAAAATCTGAAATGCAATAAACTTTTGTACGATCACTTTTAAATGTCTTCATAAGTTAACTGTGTTGATTTAGATTTTGATAAGTAGTCTCTCTGTATAACTGTTAATGGTAAATGACATGTGAACATTGCTTCACCCATATTCTGACAATTTGATTTGATTTATTCAGTTCGAACAGAAAAATCATACACAAAACAATTATTTAAACAAAATAGAGCGGGATGAAGCACGATCTTATAATTTTCCCCAGCCCATTATCACACACATCATTAGTTTATTACTTCAACTTCATCTTCTTTTCCTTATCTCTTCTTTTCACATGATTTTTACATAACATTGACACATTAATTGTTTTGATTCTATTTGTACATTTACGTTTTATTAAATAGACCCAAAATTACACAGTATTGCAAACAGTCATTAATTGAATTTCCTCATACCTTTCTCGTTTTGTTCTTTTTGAGCCACCTCTATTAATCATTATATTCCTTTAATGATATATATTTATACAACATTTTAATTGATTAATATCCTGACATAGGTTGAGATTCTCACAATTAATTTTGACAGAAGTTAGTTGAAACAGTACACGTTGATTGCATTTAATTTTGTTTATAAATTGCCCTTTGTAAGTTTGATTTGGTGCAAACACCAGCAGTAACCTGGACCTGTATTGATTGTATAATTAATTTTTTTTAAATTCTATTTGCATAAAAAAAAAACTTCTAAATTCACATTAACTTTTCTTCAGCAACCGATTTCACACAAACAAGCAACACTAAATCAATACAACATTCTGAAGTCTAACAACTAAACCTGTTTTTATTGACATTTTTTCATTTACAACTGAAAACATACTATGGTATAGATTTTATGGGATGAGCAACATTGGTGGGCTGGACTTTGGCAGATTATAGGCGGAGCCTGAGTGGCCAGTGAGCTTTGATTGACATCTGGAGGAGGGTAGTGGGCTGTGAAATGTGGCATTCTTGGCCAAGGGAGCTGAAATAATGGTATTGTTTGGTGAGAAAGGGCCCATTTCCCTCCCTTCCCTCTCTCTGTCCCCCAATCTGAAGGGATCTGATTGTGCGCTTAAAAGTGTTTGATGTGGCCAATGCATTCAACAGGCTGCGGGTGAAACTAGCAGGGACGTCCTGACTCGGTCTTTCGCTTGTAACTAACTCCAGATCCACCATTTGCTAATCGTGTTCATGTTAAAAATTAATTATTATCAGCGGCTTTTCGGCTAGTCTTACATGCTTTTAAAAGTCGTATACGCGGAGTTCTGTAAATCATTTGAATTCATGTTCTGTAGGTGTATTTTGTTTAAAGGTTGTAAGGTTATCATGTCACGCTGTTCAAGGGTTAAAAAACATGCACAGAAAATTTCAATGGTTGCTCCTTTTTAAATAATTTCACCAAGAAAAATGAACATTTCTACATTAATCAAAACAATTAAACAAAGAGTTTATTTTCATATGCAACTCTGAAAGAGCTTACAAAATGCATGATTGTATTTGTTATTATGAAGGTTGATGGAAATGTTTTTTTTAATCATTTTAACTCTTTTAGAAAGCACAAATAAATCATTTTTCTAAAGCAAGAATTATGTAAACATTTTTTTTTACATTTGTGTTGAATGAAATGCATTTGAATACATTAAATGAGCACAGTTTGGAAGAAAAATTACTTTTCCAGTTACTTTTTTTAGTTTTAGTTAACTGAATGTTTCTAAAAGACTTGAATAAATGTATAGATGTTGTGTACTGTTCTCAATCTGAAATATTTGAATTAGTCATATTAAAGCTGAAGGAATGATTTAGAAACTTTATACAGACATATCTAATTATTTGTGATGGATTTCATCGATTTTACGCTTTTAGTAATTGATTTTACAGCGTGACAGACGCCTCACATAATCTGATAATCAGTAATAATTATTTGTAGCTCTACAATGATTATAAAATTGTAACTAGTAACAAAAGATGTGCACAGAAATTATGGAAACAATTATATGTTAGATAAACCTTTTGCATGTAATTAACTGCACTGATTCCAATAGATTTGTGAATATGGAAATGTACATTTAGATTTAGTTAAAAAAATCTGCTTCCCAGGCAAAATGTAATTGTTTATTTATCTAATAATTTCAAGATGTCATAATTATAAAGAGGGAGAACATTAAGGAACACAGTTGTGCTTTTAGTATTTGAAAGTTCAATTTAAAAGTTTTTTATGGCATGAAATGAATTTAATAATTCTTGCTAGTTCAGGAAGACATGCATGAGATGTTTTGTTTGGTGTTTACATGAAGTTAAATGTACAAAAGTGTTTATTGTACATAGAAATGTGTAACAGGTGAAATATTGTTCTACCATCGTTCAATGTAACTAATAAATCTGTGTAAAAATCAAACACCACACTTACTTTGTTTTGAAAGATAGCAGCAAAGTGTAAAGATTCATTTTAATTGAATCGTTCAGTCTTGTTTCCTGTTTAGTCTGAATCAGATTTCTTTGTACATACACTATACAGCATTTTAGTATAAAAGACATTGGGTGTCTTTGGCAAATCAGGCTTAAAATGTATGTTTTTCTTTTTATAATTGTTTTAATGTTTTAAAAGCCCCTTTCATCTTGTTATGCTACATTCTTGGTTTAGGTATTTCAGATTT